CATCTTTGCATCTCCGACGTTTCCCAAGTGCAGTGCTCCCCTTTCTCGCTGGGATGTGTCCCACCTCCTCCTGCACCCCTCCACCTCCCCTGGTGTTCACCAGCTTGGAACTGCACCACTGATGTCAATGGGAAGCTTCAGAATCCTCAAAATAACAACACTTTCCCCCCTTTCCCATAACCAAAATCCATGAATCATGAAGTTTCCGTTTTCTCTTTTAAACATTTCAAAAATTGGTGCACTTGTCACTATGTATCTTTGTGAAACAAGGAAACATTCTCATCTTGTAGCAGTCTTAGCTGGTCTTCTTCTGCAGGAGCTCTTCCACGAGGGCCCATATGTCCCCTGGAGTAGTTTCCTGAAACGTGAATATGACTATGGCTTCTCGCCTACAAGCTTTGTTTTCCACCTTTGGCTTACACTCGCAGCTCATCTCCTCCGCCGGGATTCCACTCCAGGGTTTCACTGGGCCCTTCTACTCCTAACACTGCTTCCTAAGGGAGAAGGTCCTGGAACCCTCTGCAGGTTCCCCTGTATCTTACACACCCCTTCACTCACCTCACTGCATTTACAAGAGTAAATTCTCACTCAATTGTCAGTATGGCAGCCAGTGGTCTCCGCAGGGAAGGGATGAGTTTCCTCCTGGAGGAAGCTCCACTTCCAGCACTTCAGTTCAGGAAGAATGTGCGGATGCTTTCCACCACCAGTGAATGATGCAGACGGTTAGAATCTTTCTAGTGGCAGCAAAGCGTATCTGTGATGACAGCCGGCTGGGATGGGAACCGTTCCTAGAACAAAGTTAGGGCCCTGGGCGGCATGGCTTATGTTCACTGTATTCCTGGATCACCGTGGCAACTCCAGTGTGGTTCCTAGTGCTGTTTCTACTTCAGGGCTGAGAAAACTGAGTCATAAACATGCTACATAGCTTGTCTATGGTTCATGACTCCTCAGGGTCCAGGGAGCGTGAATCTAAGGGCAGCGTGCAGTTACCATGTGTCGCTGCCTTCACAGTGAGGACGCAGGTGGCAGTGGGGGGCTCCTGAAGTTTGCAGATCAGTATGACCACAGAGTTTAGAAGTGAAAGGGCAGCAGAGCGAGGACACTTAGGTAAGTTTTCTAAAACCATCTTGCCCTTTAAAGCAGTTATCAAGTACTTCAACCTTCACAAGGATGCTTGTGTCTCCTTCAATATTTAGGGAAAGGAGACAATTGGGAAAAGTCTTTCTAAGTACAAGAATTTAGCAACGCTACTCCAACTCCACTCCAAGCTACGCACTGTCTATCCATGTGTTGCTGAGCTGGTGTCTGGAGGCGGCGTCCCAGGGCAAATGACTGAGTCAGCCCACCCAGGGCCGAGCTGTGGCCTCAGGCAACACCCTCGGACGCTTCATAGGCCGAGTGTGTGCGTCTAGCTGACGGGCTGTGTGCCTTAGAGTCTATTCACTCTTTCAAGTTTCCTTTTTATGAGTATGATTGCAATACATGACAGTTACACTCTCTTTGAGGAACTGGTAGACATGGGTGTCACATCACATCTCAGCCACTTCTACTTCCCCTTTTCCTCCACGTGCTCCATCCGCCCTCCCCCAGATCCCCTTTTAACCTTTCTTTTTTCTTATCTTAAACAGTTTTCTCTCCACAGAAACTTCATGCTGTAGTATAAGAATGATTTAAAGGGCTTGTCCTTACCATAGAAAGTTCATAGTGAATGTCTTAATTCTGTGGGTTTTTTAAAGAAAATAAAATGTTTCAAGTGTCCCTAAAACTGTTACGATAAAGCATTTAAGAAAAAAAAAAAAAAACTACACAGCTAATGAAAATCAAAAGTGGAAAATGATTCATATATATATATATATATACACATACATAATTTAACACATTATAATTTGTAATCAGATGTTTGAGTTCATGTTTATACTTTAAAACAGCAGTGATAGAAATACAAAAACTGCTTCTATTCTTACAGTAAACCCACAGTAGAAGTACTTTTAACGTTGTGACATGTGACAGAGAAATGCAGGGATCCTGTTGATCTCCTTCACTGTAGTAACTATGAATGGGCTTTAGTACAGTATCTCTGCAGATGATGGCAAGTTATAGTGCTTCTCTAACTCTGGCAGTGATAATAAATTTCCTTGTATATTATTTTTAAAGAGTCTATTAAAATGATACCAAATGAACACTGTTGTAGAGTTGTATACAAATTCATGAGGAACATTTTTTCCCAGGAACCTTGGGAGGACTTCATTCTGAGATACACAATATTTGTACCTCAAGAAATACTCAAATCATTTAGTTTATTAGGAACTTACCAGTAATTAAACATTATCAGCAATCATGTGAAACTAGAGTCTTAAACAATGTGTCTTCAGATCTAAAATTTTACAGCTTTGTTAGGTATAATGCAGCGGGAAGACTACCAATCAGTATCTGCATATTCTGATTCTAGGTTTATAAATCTAGGGAACTTTAGTGCTAGTGGGCAGTAATAGGTGCTTTATTGGTGTGTTAAAGTCGAACCCCAAGTCTCCAGCCCACCAAAGATAAGTCCAGGGGACAGTGAGATACGGGAAATCAGAAGTCACCCACCTGAACTTGCTGAAAAAATAGAAGTAGAAGTTAAAAAAAAAAAAAAAAACCAGATGAAAGAGTTCGTTGAGAAAATCAGATTGGAAATAATCTCTCATGTAAAAAAGAGATGATGATCAAAATAACCTTCTCAGTGAATCAAGAGTAGACACAAACTAAAAAATAGAGGATTTTAGGGAAATTATAGAAACCACAAATGCCCAACACAGGAAAGGAATGGATTCCATGAAACAGATTCAAATAGATATCCAGCAGATTAAAAATTTCACTGCAAGTACATGCAGCTGATGGAACCATGGTGAAGACAGAATATCAGACCTAGAATACAGGATTGTGATTAGAGATCATGAAAGCAAAGACTTCTTTAAAAGGAATAAGGGGGCCAGGTTGGAACTTAGGACGCTGGGAAACCAAGCAAGCAGCTCCCCTCCCTGGTGAGCGGTGACAGTGTGGCAGACTGCGGCCCTTCTGGGGGAGAACCACTAGTATCTTCTGAGATCCACACCCTGTTGGAACTTACAAAGCTGGGAAACCAAGCAACCAGCCTGCCTCCCTGCTAAGCAATAGTGAACCTACTAGCGCACAGCCTAGAGTCAAACATCCCACTTCCCCTACCCCTTTCTCCTGTCCCCTGTTAGCAAATGGGAACCAGAAATCTGAGCATCTCCTGGGAAGTTGACCATAGCACATAAGAGAGATTTCCTTCTACCATCTCTTTGAAGGCAAATATTTTCATTACTGTTTTGCTCTATTCTGATTAATGGTACTGCTCTATTCAATATTCTGCTTTGGTAAGTTCTATAATGTTCTGTATTTCATTTTATTTTGACATGTGATTGAAAGAACAACTACTATAAAGATAATGAAATACACTGTGATACCTATTACTGTTATCTCGGTAACATGCTGTGAAGTTCTGTACCAATTTCACTGTACGATCTTAGCTGGCTTTATTCTGTCTTGTTCTGTTGTATTTTACCACTTTCAAAATAAAATTTAAAAAAAAAGAGTAAGGGATCATGAAAAATCAGTCCAAAAGCTGCAAGATGGTACAAAGTACATAAGATTGATTGGAGTCAGTGAGAAAGCAGGACACAGCCCAGTGACATAAAAATCATGTTCACAGAAGTACTGGCAGAAAATTTCTCAAATATAGAGAAAGAAATCTACATAAAATACATGAGGCAAATAGAACTCCAGTTACCCATGTACAAAATAAGTCGACACCAAGGCATAGGATTATCAATATTCCAGAATTTTAGCACAGGAACAGAATATCAAAATCTGTCAGAGAAAAGAAACAAGTCATCAGAAACACAGTCCATTTCTCAACATAAGCCCGTAAGTCAAGCAGATTTTGGAGTAAGGTATCTCAAGTCCTTAAAGAAAACAACCTTTAGCCCAGATTGATGGACCCTGCAAAACTATCTTTCAAAATCAATGGAGAAGATAACTCCATCTCAAAGAAGAAATTCATGACCACCAAACCAGGTCTAAAAAATTTCCTGAAGGATATTTTAGAAAAAGATAACAATCCCCAAAAATCTATCAGAAAGAAGCCACCAGGTAAGGGAAGTAATTACAGGGGACAGCTAGGGAACCAACTACAGGAAAATATGTCAGTGATAAGCCAAGAGATATCAGTTATAACCCTCAACATGAATGGTCTCAGTTCATGTGTAAGTGGAGGTTTGCAGGTAGATTGGACAAAGGCAGCAAGGAGGTGAGACTTCCTGTGCTTGATAAAGACGAGGTCAACCAAGGTCCCGAGGGAGGAGGCAGGGTGGTTAACAGACAATAGTTTCCCATACACAGCACTTGCTTGTTACATGGGATTCTGCAGGAAAACAGGCTTATAGGATGCCAGGCTGCACCCAGTACCGGGCTGAGGATTTTGTTATTTCTTAGGTGTACAGAGGGAACCAGGTGGTAAGCTGGCACCTTTGCTCAGCTTCCCGAAGTTCCTTTACACTCTTCCTCACTGTCTTAGCTGCCGTTTACTATGAATGTTTTAGGAGCAATATTTAAATACTAGGTCTACACATGAGGGACACTTTTCAGATTCTCTAATTTGCTTCTTCAGACTATTTTCCCGAGGGCTTTAATAGAAAATGGAAACACTGTTCTTACCCAGGAATGTTTTTCATGTTAGAAGTCCCAAGACAGATTTATCAGTTTCCTAAATGGCTTTATGGGGAAGGCAGGATGCAGAATTACATAGGAAGAAGCTTCAAATGCATCTGTTTGTGAGTTGAGTTTTGTCACTGTAAGAACACTTTTATAGTTCCCAGTTTTTTTCCATAATCCAGAACTGAGTGTACTGCAGTTTTTTTTTCCTTAGAATACTTTTATGACAGAATTCTCTTTTTTCAACTAGATATTAAAGCAAGCAAATAATCCAAACTCCATGATGACTTTAAATGATAAACTTTTATTCTGAATATACTGTTTTTGCACAAGATTTAACACAACATTTTCTGGGATTATAAATATTTTATAACAGTATTATACAAATTTTTACAAAATGTTTTTAACAGGCTAGTTAATGTCCCACAAAAGTCTCAAGAGAACATGATAAAGGGAGGGTGGAGATCTATTGTTCACAAAAGCCACAGGGCCTTTTTCAGGGGTGCACATTGAGTATTTCATTGAAAGAATCCCTAAGAACATGATCCAGCAATCACACAACACAGCCGAAAGACAGCCTTGCCAGGTCACCTTGGAAACTGGACTGGCATCTACCTGAGACAGCATCCCATGGTCTCAGTGTAATTTCTCTGAGATAACTTTGATACGAACTAGAACAAAAGGTGGATGAAACCATTGATAAGGGCTCCCTAATTCTTACAGATTTTCTGGAAACTTTTAACACTTGATACTTTTGTTTAGTGATTTGATCTTTCTAGAAATGTATATGGAATACTAACAATATTAACATTCGGCTATGAGAAACAATACAAGGTCCAGATAACAATAGAACATTGGAATTTGGGCAAATGAGTCAGTCACAAAACCCACTTCCTCTCACTAGGTGAGACGCTACGTCTTCTGACATTCTAATGTCAACCAACATGATCAATGGAATAGCTTGAGAGTTCTAAACTAAGACACGGAATTTAAACTTTGGTGAAAACAAGACAAAGATTTAAAGGAGATGTAAAATTACGAGAGAGCATCAAATAAGCAAGTAACACTTGGGTTGCGAAGGTCACTTAAAAGGGATACTGCCTATTTGAACCCCATAAGGCCAGTTTTAAAGTTAACAAAAGGGATATTATAGATAGGAAACTTACAAATGGCAGCAACACTGTTTTGCTTTTGTTTTTTCCAAGTTAAGCAATAACGCCTCAAGCATTACAAACATGAAAAAGATCATACTAAAATTGTATAGGCCAGGACCTAAAAGTCTCTTCAATCAAACTCGCTAACTATGTCATGTTAAAAACCAGTTACAAATGTGGACCACGACTGGTGTTTGGCAGTAATGCTGGTTGTTCAAACAAAGGAAAGATAAAAAAATGACTGATGCAAACCTCTGTCCCGTAAGAGAGGACAGACGTGACTTACTATGATGTCGTGTTAGTGACACACTACGTGCAACAGCATGGGCACAGCACAAATCAAATCTGTATGAACAGTTCAAAAGCTTTTTCACTGAACACTTTCACTGCTCAGTCTTTGAAAATGGAAACTATCATCAGACTGGAAGTCTTTTGTCAGAAGAGTTCACAGAAAAATAGCAGACTTAATGTAACAATTTGATGGGATGAGAGTTACTGTCTTTGGGAAAAAAAAGGGATGTAAACCCAGGATGACTTGCATTGATCCTGAAAACAAGTTTTTAGTCTGCAAGCAAGTTGTTACCCAATTTCCTACTCTGTACGTGCTGTCACTCTACAGAACTGTCATCAAAGGGGTCCCTGCCGAGGATGCCACGTTGAAACACGACTAACACAACAAATGAGGAAAACATACAACACAAGGGACACTGCCCAGGCCAATAGATTGAGTGGACTTTAAGCGTAATCTTAAGGTAGTCTGTTGTACGCTGGAAGCAACTGCTTGTTTTATATGTGCGTCATTTATTTACATGAACTAACAATTGACATTTTTGAAATCCCCTTCCCTACACTTCCATGATGTAAAATTCTAGCAAAAGTTAACAGTAAGATTTAAATATTTAATTAACAAACATGATTTAAACACATTGTAACCTTTTCTTAAATCCCTTTGGTGTTTTCTAAAATGAAGATACAAGTTTTGAATAGACTAAAAATCCACAGCAATGTGCTACAAATGGTAACTGATGTCAACTCTTAGAACAATAGTTGGCAAAGTGATTCCACTTCTCCCTCCCTTTTTAAAATTAAAAATGACCTTATTAAGGAAGTACACACATGGTGCTTAGGATGCATTGGCGGTAAGAGGGGATTATAAATGTGTACAAAGCTAGAAACAAATAAATCTTAACCATTGCTGAAGAATGGGCTCAAACTGTGATGTGCAGAACACATGGAAGCATGCTGGGTAACGTAAATAAGTTTGATGTTAAAATTATATATAAGAAAATTTCCAGCATATACACACACCAAAAGTTGGCATGTTTGAATGAAGAAAAATGCATTTTACCATAAAAATATCTGCATACTTTCAGCCTTCAGTAAAATTATGCACTATTCCTAAAGTTACATATTCATTATTTCCCCCTTTCTTTAAATACTGTTTATTCCTGAAAATAATTTTTAAAAGCATAAATAATATTTTGATACCATATTAATCTATAATGAAATATCTGGTTTACTGCACTAACCATTTTCACCGATGAGGCGGTATAAAATCAAATTGTATTATTCACAATCAAGTGTTCATGTGCATACATAGGTCCGAGGTTTCCTGTGTGCTCAGATTGGTATGAAACCCTCCTCAAATGGCATGGGACTTTGGCCACGTGATCATAACATCACAAATGGAGGACAGAGCTCGGATTGGCCACGCTCCTGGGACATGAGCGAACAGGAAACCTAGGACATAGCTTCACTGAGAACATACATGTACTTTTCAAAAAATAAATGTGTTAAATCTGATTTATGTACTTAAAATATCTGTACATAGGTTTTCAGGCAAAAGCATGAATTCGTATAAAATCCACTGATTCTCGTCCTGACACTGTCTAGCCCCGTCCTTCTGCATTTACATTGCACAGTATATTCAGAGTAGTTTGACGACAGTTTTGAAAGGTGGCTGAAGTGCATTTTACAGCGCAAGGTTCAGCTTCTTACAGGACAAGAATGTCACTCAGATAACTTCCAAACAGACTACACTCTACAATAAGAGAAAAACAAACCAAAAAGTTAAAGTAGCAGCAGCAGCATCATGCAAGATACCCTTGGAACCCAAGTTCATTGATCACAAGAAAAACATTTCCCCTCCCCCCAGCGAGCTTCTCTTAGAGCATTGTGAGCTTCTGGCGAGCACTACATAATCATACTGAGAACAAAAGGAACATTCCACCGGAGCTTTGTAGGGCTTACACTGATGAGAAATTACGTCATAATTCAAATTTCACCCGCAAGCACCTTTAGTTTAATAATTTCTTAGCTATTATTTTCAAACTATCAATTCACTACCCCGTTCAATTGGTCATCAATGGTGTTGTATTTCTGGCAGAGACATCATTCTGCATAAGGCATTGTATTCCTGGCAAAAATATTTTGTAGAAAGTTAGCCATGATTTGAACTTCAGCAATTTAGACCACTGTTAATTCTTTCTCCTTCTCTGTCCCTCTTCAGTTAGGAACTACTCAAAGCAGGAATTGACTCTTAACAGAATAAATGAAGGCAAAGCTAACTACTTCTCCCTAGAGATTTTCTTAGTAAATCTGCAGCATGTTGGAATTCCAGGTCAAATTCAAGACATTCTTTATGATTCATAAATAGTGTGGGGAGCCATTCTGCACATCATCACCAGCAACACAGCAACTCTGGCTCTCCCAGCGGAGCACACGGAGCACGTCTGCTTCGATGGTCTATGTAGATGGTGCAGCATTCACACGAGGACACGGGTCGGACACCCTGACATGCAGCCAGGGGTGCCCCACGGTCTGTGCCTTAGATCTGCCATGATACAGGTCCAGCTAACGCTTTGCTGACTCCACAGGTGACCCTACTGTGACATCACCCAGGGCTCATGTTTTGGCAGGGTCTGGAGTTTAATGATGTGGTTTTGGCTTCGGGAGGTCACAACAGGAAGTATCTGCTGCCAGATACCAGCCAGAGGAGCAGAAACTGGAATCCGAAAATAGACCACAGGGACGAACTTAATCCTGAAACACCGCCACAGTCCGAATAATCCTCCTGTGAGAAAGGGAAGGGGAAATGAAAATCTTGAAAAATATTTAGGGTGATACTTTTCAGAGCACCTCTTATCTAGTCCTTCTGAACTCACCTTATAAAACCGCTTTAACTGCGATCCAAATAAATCACATTCACCTCGATTTTATTCCTTAGCATTTCGAGTAATTTTATCTATCAGCACTTGAAAAATGCTATCAATTTTCATTGTAAATGCTGGTGCTTACAAAGGGCACACTTTAATAATAAAACCTGTTTTGAGCTATGTACCAATTATTGACTAAAAGAGCACTATTGTAGTATCACGAATCCTATGTACTTACAAATGCAAGAAATAACAAAATTTATATAGAGTTCCCTAACCTGAAGTATTAAGATTTTAGCAACTGTGCACCACAAGAAAACATAAATTTGACTAATATAATTCCATTTCCCATATTTCTTATGTTCCATTTTTCAGTTAAACATGTGATGTATATGTAGAATCATCAAGAATTGAAGTAAAATGAACAAAGAACCCAACAACACATTTGAAGAAATAACAGTGGAAGGACAGCCTGGAATCACATCTAAAATAAAGGTGACAGGGAGGTTGGGAAGGATGTCCCAGGGCTTCCCACAGGGCAGGTGCACCCTGGCCCGGCTAACACCAAGAGCATCTTCAGTTTCCTCCTAGGTCCCTGGCTCTGCAGCACTTTCCACGTCCCTTAACTCCACATCGTGTAAAATTTCACTTTAAATTCTTCATGTCTAGTCATCGGAGTAAACATCTTTGAAAAACGCACTAATCAAAGGTTCAACTTCCAAGAATGCAAATAGTTGATTATATAAATAGATGAACAAAACTGGTATTTTGTCTTGTTTTGTTTTGAGAATTATTCTACAAAGACTACGATCTCAAAAACTCCGAGCTGTGGCTTTGGGTTTGATCGGCAGAGCTCAATACTGTGCCTGCCGTGCAGTAAATAAGTAATACGAGTTTCTTGAGTGGCTTTTGAAGACAGTGCAACTCTTTTCTGTTTCCTGCAGGGAAGGCTGAGGGTGAAGAATCGATAAAAGAAAACTTTAATTTTCAAATAAACCGTCCCCAAATCTAAACAGAATCCTGCGGGAGCCAGCTCTCAGCCTTCATGCAGCTGACCCTTTCAGGACATTTCCTGTCCTGACACATTCCGCCCAGGGTCCCCTCTGCACGGTGGCTCCTTGCTTGGGTCGCCTCTCCTCCTCCCTGTCTCTCCTCCTCTTTTATGTGGACTTTGTTTCTAGGGCCCTCGCCTGGCCCCGTGGCTTCCTGGTTAGTAACTGGCGCTTTTCTGTGCTCAGCCCTGAATTCTCCTCCGAGTTCCCCATGAACGCCTCTCCTCTCCGGTCCCGGGATTTCAACTCCACCTGGCACCCCACTCTTCTCAGTGTCTGCAGACAGCTCACTCGGGGTGCAGGGCCCACAAGCGCCCAACTCCAGGTCCCCAGAGTCCTCTGCCTCCCACGGGACCCACCAGCACCGCCTCTTTCCTTCCCAAACCAGAGCCAAGCCCCTGCTTCCTCCCCCAGCCCTGCCGCCCTGCCGCCCTGTGGGCTTCCTGCCTCAACTTCTGCATGAGCCTCTCCCCTCCTCTCCCCTCCCTCCCCTCCTCTCCCCTCCTCTCCTCTCCCCCTCCCTCCCCGCCTCTCCCCTCCTCTCCCCTCCCTCTCCTCCTCCCCCTCCTCTCCTCTCCCCTCCCTCTCCTCCTCTCCCTCCCCTCCTCTCCCCTCCCTCCCCTCCTCTCCCCTCCTCTCCTCTCCCCCTCCCTCCCCGCCTCTCCCCTCCTCTCCCCTCCCTCTCCTCCTCCCCCTCCTCTCCTCTCCCCTCCCTCTCCTCCTCTCCCTCCCCTCCTCTCCCCTCCCTCCCCTCCTCTCCCCTCCTCTCCTCTCCCCCTCCCTCCCCGCCTCTCCCCTCCCTCTCCTCCTCCCCCTCCTCTCCTCTCCCCTCCCTCTCCTCCTCTCCCTCCCCTCCTCTCCCCTCCCTCCCCTCCTCTCCCCTCCTCTCCTCTCCCCCTCCCTCCCCGCCTCTCCCCTCCTCTCCCCTCCCTCTCCTCCTCCCCCTCCTCTCCTCTCCCCTCCCTCCCCTCCTCTCCCCTCCTCTCCTCTCCCCCTCCCTCCCCGCCTCTCCCCTCCTCTCCCCTCCCTCTCCTCCTCCCCCTCCTCTCCTCTCCCCTCCCTCTCCTCCTCTCCCTCCTCTCCTCTCCCCTCCCTCTCCTCCTCTCCCTCCCCTCCTCTCCCCTCCCTCTCCTCCTCTCCCTCCTCTCCTCTCCCCTCCCTCTCCTCCTCTCCCTCCCCTCCTCTCCCCTCCCTCTCCTCCTCTCCCTCCTCTCCTCTCCCCTCCCTCTCCTCCTCCCCCTCCTCTCCTCTCCCCTCCCTCTCCTCCTCTCCCTCCTCTCCTCTCCCCTCCCTCTCCTCCTCTCCCTCCCCTCCTCTCCCCTCCCTCTCCTCCTCTCCCTCCTCTCCTCTCCCCTCCCTCTCCTCCTCTCCCTCCCCTCCTCTCCCCTCCCTCTCCTCCTCTCCCTCCTCTCCTCTCCCCTCCCTCTCCTCCTCTCCCTCCTCTCCTCTCCCCTCCCTCTCCTCCTCTCCCTCCTCTCCTCTCCCCCTCCCTCCCCGCCTCTCCCCTCCTCTCCCCTCCCTCTCCTCCTCCCCCTCCTCTCCTCTCCCCTCCCTCTCCTCCTCTCCCTCCTCTCCTCTCCCCTCCCTCTCCTCCTCTCCCTCCCCTCCTCTCCCCTCCCTCTCCTCCTCTCCCTCCTCTCCTCTCCCCTCCCTCTCCTCCTCTCCCTCCTCTCCTCTCCCCTCCCTCTCCTCCTCTCCCTCCTCTCCCCTCCCCCTCCCTCCCCGCCTCTCCCCTCCCCTCCTCTCCTCTCTTCCTGCTTCTTCTCTGCTCTCTTGTAGTCTCTTCCCCACCAAGTGGGGTTCTTAAAACCACCAGCCGATCTTTCACATCTTGTTAGCAATTTCCCACCATTCTCACGACAATCTGGATTCCCTGTGAAATCCTTCACAGTGTCCATGGTCTGCAGCCTGGCTGCCCCTCAGGCCCTTGCCAGGGACACAGCAGCCTCAGAAACACTGTCTTTCTCCACCTCAGGTCCTTTGCCCTCCTCCCTCTCTTTGTCCAGATATGCTAACCTGTAGCCCAATTCAAAGCAAGGCTCTGGGCACCTTTGAATTTCAGTGTGTGCTTGTGCATCTTGAGTATCTCACACCTAGAGGACTCACAGGATACATACCAGGTAAGCTGTGTGTAGTAAGTGAATACACTAGTTAGGAACCCCACAAACCTAACACAGGGAGTCCTAACTGTCACTCTGGCAGGAGTACTTCCCAGGCGTGGCTAAGTGCTACTTGATGGAATGAAATGCTGTATTTAGATAGAACATGCTCAGGTATAAAGGATTCATTTTCTCAAGGAAACTCCCGCAGTGGCATTCCCTCCTGCATCACGGGAAGGCGAATGTTCTCTCCGGCCCTTCATCGTTTTTATTTTTACACTGTGCATGTTGCTCTGCTTTCTTTTTTCCGTCTCCTGTGAGCGGATGAGCTCTGTCTGAGTCCCGGTAGGGGCTCAGGTCGAAGGTCACCCCCAGGTCACTCCCTGCTTCACTCTGAAAATTCTGCCTCACGGCTTCTTGGTGGCGTCTTCTCATGCACCCAGCGGTAGGACCAGAAGCAACACGGTGCATATGAGTGGTGCATATGAGTTGGGGATATATTTAAAACATTTGCGTCAAAACTGCAGATCGTGGAAGGGTTTTCCTTCTCGGAGAGACTAAAATTCCACAGACTCTTTGACTAGGCAAATCGGTCTATCTTTAAAAGATTATTGAATAAGAAAATCACAGTTCGTTGACTTTAACTATGTAGCCCAGGCTGGTTTCAAGTTCACAGTGATCCTCCTGCCTCAGCCTCCCAAGTGACAGGATCAAAAGTGTGTGCCACCATGCCCTGTTTTATACTTTGAAATATGATAGACTAATGTTACTAGACTTCCTCATGGGAGCCTCTCTCAAAGGATTATCAATAAGCATGCCACTTAAGAATCATTCCATTCCTTCTCTGGAACTCATTAGAAGAAAAGCCTAAACTGTAAATCTGCCCCAAGGTTCACTTGGCAAGACCCCGTACACTGTGAGATGCAATCTCTTTTGTGGGTGCAGTGCACACAGACACAGCCACTGTGGAAATTGGCACGGAGCTTCCCACAAAACTAGAAGTGGGAATGCTACTTAACCCAGCTACTCCCCTTCTAAAATCACAGTCATACATGCACACGCATGTTTATAGCAGCACAACCCACAACAGCTAAATTCTGCAATCAGCCTGAAGGCCTCAGCAGGTGAATGGATAAAACGGTGGGATTTGTACCCAGTGGAGCACCTCTTTGCCGTAAGGAAGGACACACTTGCATGGTGTGTAGGAAAACGGATGCCCCTTGAGACCACAATGTTCAGCGAACTTAGACACAGGAACTTAAAGTATCACCTGGTTTTTTTATATGAAAAATTCCCTTTCCCTTTCTTTCTATACGTGGCATAAAGACAAAGAGAAGTGTGTTATAATCCAGCATACACAATGCATCCAAAAGCAGTACAATCGCCTTATGTGTTTTGCATGTTCTTTGGTCTATTAGCCTGGTTTTCAATCTATTTATATGGTAATTTATTTGATAAGGTCTATAAGATAAATAAATGAATCTGAGGCTGGAAAAACAAAACGGTAGTGGGGGGGTGTCATGCGCACGTACCAGCCTCCTGCAGGAACTGTAATCACTGCATAAAGCACACCCTGCTAAACCCTTCTCTGCCTCGCTCTCCCCAGCCAGAATCTAGGACACTAATTGCACAAGAAACACGATCCTTTTTAAATTTAATAAACTTAGAACTAAAATTTCCAAAATAAAATCCTTCAGTCATTTGGCCAAGGAGCTTCTGTCCTTTCTTTTCTGAATTCTAGCTACTATTTAATTTCTCAAAAGATAAGTCACTGGTGAATACATCACAAGCCCACAGCCAACTTTAGAATTTGGAAACACTAGGACCAATGTCACCCAGCTAGTGTCAAGGAAAATCTATATTTAGAAAGGTTTAGGCAGTGGACACTGTGGAATAATGCTTTAGGAGAAATAACTCCTGGGGCTGGTGATTTAGCTCAGTGGCATAAGCACCTGCCTTGCAAGCAGACGGTCTTGTGTTCAATCCCTGGTACTGATAACTCCCTTCACACATCTGTATTAACCCATGAAATATAAGATGTATTTGTTCAACTCTTTAAATATAGAAGGATTAATAAAAATATGCCCAGAAACTTATTTCTGAACATCCATTTGTATGTACCCAATAGCATGGTTTTTATGAAGTGGATTTGCACAGAACAATATACTTTCTCAATAGCTGGATGATAGGCTTGCTTTACTTTCTGCCTTAATTAACTAAGAATTTCAGCTCTTTTGTGTTTCTCCATTCTTTTCCACCTGTGTCTTCATGAACGCTGGGTCAAGATAAGTGTCACTTGGACACTTACGTTTTTCATGTCATTTTGGGAATATTTACATTGCTTTTTTATTTTTACAGTTTAAAAGTGTAAATAGCTAAGAAAATATCTATGAATTTTTATGTCTGATTCATACCAGATACATGTTACCTAAAATTATGAATGAGAAAAGTAAACTTTATAATCAAAGGTGAAAATATAATGAAATTTTATACTATTTCTCGTAGATAGAAGAATACGTTCATGGAGCACCAAGATACCCTGCTTTTCCCATTTCTGCTAGGACCAGAGAGAGGGACAATCACAAACATGTATCACACCACTGCAGTCTTCTTAAGGAAATAATCCTTTTTGAAGAGACTACGTTACATTGCAAATAGGCACCTGCATATCAGTTTTAAGAATATGTGTATACTGAACAGCAGTCGTTTACCTTTGTCTTTTATTTAATCATCAAACCTAGCTAGGTGCCCTCACTTGCAATCTTTGCTATGCAAACCCTCATGATCTGAGAACAACTTTGGTCACTTTCTGAGACTTCCTCTGCTACCTCCCTTCTTCCCTATCTCCTGTGCTCAGTGTAGCTTGGTAACAACCACATCTCCATCTAGTGGCTTCCTGATCAGCGGTTACCTGGAGACCAGGAAGAAAGAACACCACAGAAGTTGCTCTAGACATACAACCCTGGTGACTTCGGAGAATCAGAAATGAAACTGCATAACATGATTGGAACATGGAACATAAATGCAAGCCCTAAATATCTACTTAGAGGTACTGCTTATGAAATTCAAAAACACAATGATACTTTGACATTAAGTAGGACAATTTTAGAAATCACAAAGGCTCTACTGAAATATTTCAACACCAATATTTTCAGAATAAAATCTTCTAAAGCTACATAAACTAAGTCTACTTAAAAGAAAAACCAGAATGATTGAAGTTCTCATATAATGCTTGATGAAACTGAAAGGTCCATTAAACTTGTTACCATTTTTGAAAATAAATTGATCTAACACCCACTCTAATAATTGTTAAGTATTTCTCTTTAGCAAAAGTGAAATATCATAAAGCTTGCATAAATTTTGATCCATATTGACTTAATCTTTGCAGGAAAACCATATAAAAATACCATGATATTTAAATAAGTATAATAGGAATCTAATTTTGCTCTGTTTAGTATGACAAACTTATGCATTACTTGAAATCACCACATATAAAAGAACCTTAATTTAACAAGTTAATAACATTGTCTCATGACATTTATTATTGTGGACTTAGGGATATGAATCATTTTCTAATGTTTCAAGCCAAAAACAAAACAAAAGAAAAATTAGAGAAAGTGACTGACCATCCACACCACATGAAAACTTGCAGTAAAATGCAGGGAGGAGCTGACCGCATGGTACAGGCACGACTCGCTGTGCATGTAAGTTGATCCTATTAATAACGGGCAAAGTAGCAAGTACAGGAAAGGAAAGAAAACACAGAGAAGAAGACACACAAGATGAGATTTCATGCAATTTGCTGGCAATTAGCAGTTAACGTGAGCCTCCATCCAGAGCAGATTCACAGTGAGCATTGCAAGTAAGCGTTACCAGACACTCCACTGCGAGAGACACACCACACCATCAGCGCACTGAGCTACACGCAGGGCCGTACTTTCACACACAACCCCCAGACAGTTCACAGGAACTGCAATTGTCGAAAAATCGTCTCAGTCGAATTTTTGTAATGTTCTGGTCAAATGATACAGATGCCTAGGGTGAGAATATTTTGGGTCATATGGATTTTCTGTCCTTTAGGTTCTTTGCATGAATTCATCTGCCTTTGAATTATCGGACGCTGGTGAGAAATAGCTGAGGAGCAATGTTTCCCTAGTGATTGTGGATGCCCCTGGGCCCCCAGTTTATTTTAGGAAACAGAATAATAGGAGCCCTCAAATATGGACTGTGTAAGTCTTATTAGGTAAAACTCAAAACAAAACAAAACAAAACAAAACTGAGGTCCACTGTTCAATCACTGTAAAGAGAAATAGTCAATTCTCTTCACAGAGCTAACAACTCTTGCATTTTATTTCTTCTTTGTTGCATTTTAAAATTTGTTTTACGTAGTTGCTTGGTATGTATCTTGGAAATTCTTACTTTTGTGGTTATAGGCCTATTTTAAGTTCTTTTCAAACACAAGTTAATCAACAGACGTTCTGACATATTTTTAGAATAGGAAACTTATGAGATGGTGAGGTTCTGTCTGTAAGCTCCTTGAGGTGTAGGAGCCACCTAACGCTAAGACATACCTCCAACAGTCAGAATTGGGGAATATTCGAATATTCGGTTTCAAATCAGTAAAAATGGATAAGGTTTTTTGTGATGTTTATCTTCAAGAATAAATTTTCTCAAAATAATTTTGAAAGCATAAAATTGATTATATAAACAATGTCAGGAAAATGTTTATTGGGAAAGAAAAGATTTATAGGAAAAGTATAAAAGTGTAAGTATAAAAGGATCATCTTTAGATGATACACATTAAATGTGCTTTTTAATTGATCAAATTAACCTTGTTAAAGTGAATAGCCTAACTTCAAATACTTAGAAAAAGCATAGCTAAAGGGAATGTCATAAATCTCTGATAGTATTAAAGTAAATCTATGACAGTATCTTACCTGATAGAAACCAGGTAAAGAAAATTAGAACTATAAGATAATAGGAAAATAGCTATATAACAGGTCTCCAACACACTTAATGAAAACAAAATACAAACTAATAGTAATATTCTAATAAAAATAACACATTTTCAAGTTTTGAATACAAATGCAAGCAGGCAATACACATAAGTAATATTTACTATGAGTTATTTTAATTAGTCTTTATCATCAGATTTGTGACCACATACTATCAGTGGATTGATGGAGTTGTGTTTGAAAGTACAATTTCTGTGGGAAGGACAGGAGAAGCAACTATTTAAATTTATGATAATCATGACAAATTTGGAAATGAAAAAAAAAAATCTACCTACCAGCAAGTTCACTGTGTTAACGAGAAAAACTATGGTTAAGCTATCATGTTTCAGAAAAAACTTGCAATTTACAGTTTAAGTTCTGGTGGGCAACAGTCACTGGGCTATGGAATTTGGATCCACCGAATGTGTTATCTTACCATGTCACTGTTGTCAAAGCAGACATCAGGCCCTTTGCGGTATCTGGGCTGCTTAACCATATCGCAAGGATCCGGACCATCAGCTGAAGAGCCGCATTAAGGAACAGGAAGTTACATTTCCCCCGCCCCATGTATGTTAAAACTGATGCAATGAAGCCTATTTATTTATGAAAGCAAGCAAGCGCAAGTTATGTCATTACTTTCAAATAAGGCAGTGATTCCCAGGACTCATTCTGGGCACTCAGACCCAATTTTGGGCCATGCATTCATATTTCTCTCGGGGGGAACGACAGCTCTAGGGTGCTGGCTTTTCTCTTTCTAAGCCAAGACAAGGTGAGCGGGTTACAGAGGCACTGCTTTACCCTGGCTTCCCATCCTGAAGGTCTTGGTGGCAAAGGATACAAGTCTGCTCTGCCTGGATGAGTAGCCTGGTGTCACAGGGACACGTCCCTTTGCTTTCCACCATTATGAATATTAAGTTGGTGTGCATAATCTTCTCCACGTGAAAGATTCTGCAAAATTAATGTCACAAGGATCATGTGAAATGAAGACTCTTCTGGGAAAGGAATGGAAATATTTCAGACATTCCCACACGATAAAATAGGACATACTGGAACCCAAAGCATCACAATGGTAAGCAGTAAGACAGAAGGAGCATATTTTAAAAAGAAAGATTATTATCTTTATGTTTAATGCCACAAACATACTGCCTCCCTCCAATTAATATTAAGGGACAAATGTAACATGTAAGACATTTCTTACAGCGATTTGTGTCAGCTGTCATAGCAGAGTGAACCTTATTTAATTGATGAAACAACAGAAAAATGGTATCATTTATATGTTTAAGAAATTGTGGGATTCATCGCTTAAAATGTGCCCAAGTAGCTGGCTATAGATAGAAAACTGGGGTAGAACTTTGGCTGAGCGGTCTCTTCAAGATAAGGGCAGAATGTTCTCGATTCAGGACCTCCAGCAAATGTGCAGCAGGACAAGTGTGACTGAGGACACCATTCTGAATTTGCTAAGTCCTGGATTGGACCGCACAGAGATACAGAATCCAGGGCTTGAAATTCCACCCCGCTTCCCGCCACGCCTGACTCTCTGTCCTCTGCGACCAACATAACAATGTAAACAGTGTCACTAAAGGAGGAGTTTCTGGAAGCACACACGTTTCAAAGTGCAATTTACTTCCTGCTTTTTTTCCTCCCAGACTTGGGCCATGGGCATAAAACAAATCAGAGGAAATTAGGCCTCAGTGAGCAAGCCTGTTTCAGATAAAGTCTCCCCCGTGTTGACCTTACCTTACCGTCAACCTAGGTCCCCACTGCTCCAGCTGCACCCCGGTGGGCATCCACTAACCGTGCTCTGAGCCCACTGTCCACAGAGCCCCTGCCACGCCCGTCTCCAGGAGAGGGACCTGCTTCTGCTCTGGTGCCCCAGGTCTGATGTCCTGCCTGCCCTCTCTTCTTCATCTCCCTCCTCTGTGCACACAGCGCTGTGCAACGTGAGCACGGAAAGCGCTGGCCAGGTGCATCGCAGCTCCAAGTGGCTGCGGTTGACCCTTTTCTTGCAAGTCGTGGGCTCTGTCACAGGCACCGGCTCTCAGTCCCAGAGCACCTCACGTGCCAGGGCCCTCACCACCGAGCCCCCTCTGCCCTCGCCTTCCTCTCCTCTCTGTCCACCTTTCTCCTGGGAACCCTGCCTCGCCAGCTCAGCTCGGCCGTGGCAGGGACCACCGTCTTCCTCACAAACCTTCCCAAGGCCCCACTCTTCCATTACAACCAATTAAACTTTCCACCGCATCGCCAAAATATTTTAAGATGTTTTATGCACACTGACCGAACACTATTAACCACAACCGTATGGAACGATCCTCTGCTCAGTTTCTTCAGTTTCAAGTCAAAGGTAACAACACTCAAGCCTTCCTGTCAGAGAAGACTAGAAAGCAAACCAAAGCATGACCCTTCTGTAAACCACTTTAACTACCATCTGTGACAGGACACGATGTTTGGCATAGAATAGTAATTTCATGCACACTCATTTCAGAATTAATATAAAGTTTTATCATCCTTTAAATCAGAGAGTTGCAGTATGGATTATTTTAGATGAAAAAACACATTAGATAGACCCAAATTTCTCTATGTTCTGCCTACAAGAGGCAATTATGCTGATCACATCATGACAGTCGAGTTGCTACTTGTCCAATTTAGAATCTTAAATGTAAATTTCTAAAGTCTCCAAAGAAACTGAAGATCTCTGACATTTTCCACTCGAGCAACGAGTCCCATGTGTGAGGTCGTGACGGGCTCCACTGTTTCCCACACAGACTGCAGAGGGGACTGTGGCTTAGGGAGCGGGGTACCTGGAGCAGTTCCCGCAGTCCAGCACGCCGCTGAAGGATTTGCTGTCGTTGTTGAAGAAGTACTGGGTCTGCTCGGTGATGCAGCTCTGCTTGGACAGGGAGGCGGTAAAGTCCTCCTCCTCCATCTCCACTGTGGGAACCGGGCACAGTCACAGCCAGGGACAAGGCGGGGCCCCGGCCGGCCACCCCCAGCTGCTGCCTCACTGGGCAAAACCAGCGCCCCCATCGAAAGATGAGGGGGTCGGACGGACGGAGGACGTTGCTCTCGTGTGCACACACACACTCACATTCACAGACACACACACACACACGCGTGTTCTTCGAGGGGAACTCACTACGGCCACAGTGACAGTGCTCACTGCTCTGACGATGGCCACGTGGGAGTCTTCACTTACCTGCCTCCAGGATCCGAGGAAAGGTCAGACTGAGGAGAAACTGCTGGAGAATGGACCTGAATTTTAAAAATGAATCATTTTAAAAATCTATGAATGTAAATATGATCCCCAGCATTTTTGTATGTCAAACAATAAATAAGTATTTTCCATCTGTTTGAAGATTGCTCACTGAAAACTGAGGGCCATTTTTATACACCTGCTTCTAACTAATACAAAACTGTGGAATTTTGCCGTCGTCTGTGGAAGAAGACAGGGGTAACGGAGACTAACTGTGGGACACACGTGTGTTCCCAGGCCTACCAGGGCAGTGTCACTGTGTGAGGTATTAACAGAGAGAGCGGGAGGTGGGGCCAGCGCTTCGGGGAGAGGTCTTTACACTCAGATAGTCTTCTTGTTTTAGTGCCATGAAACTAAATGAGAAACTAAGTGAGAAAATGACTTTGTGTGACGAAGATTTGAGTTTCTGAGCTATTTACAGTATAGAATATATCTTTTAGCATATGACATTCATAAAATAGCACATGCATGTTGTACAGAGCACATGCTAGGGCACATTTCAGCTTTAAAATAAATGATCACGTAACCAAATATTAGTACAGAATCTCCTGGAACAGAATTTAGTTTAAAAATGGGTGGAAGTGGGCTATAAAATAGGATAAGTTAATTTAGATCTTTATTACATACAGAAAGTCCTCCTAAAACTGATACACAAGTATCACCATCATACCATAAAATACAATTTTCAGGGGAAAAAAGCTTTTAATTTAAAATATTTTGGGGCAAGGAATGTAGCTCAGTGGACACACACATGCCTGGCAAGGCCAAGATCCTGAGTTCAATTCCTGGTATTAAAAAAAAAAAAAAAAAAAGTCTCAGCTTCCAAAAAGCACTCCAAATTAACAGAATAAAAATCCTTTGCTACTTTAAGAAATGATACATTTAGCTGGGAAATCTCTGTATCAAATGAAAGGCACAGATTAACCTTCTTAGGTGGGAGCTGAGACAATACAGTGGAGTGATGACCAGGAGGGCAGCACAACGGAAGGAGACTGCAACTCCTGGACACGGGAAGGCCCTGCCCGGCTGGTCAGAAGCAAACTCCAGGAGGCGCCGTCCCGGAGCGGGTCACGGAAAAGCACCCTGGACTCACTGCAGTAACACAACGCCTCTAAACCCCTGCCGGTCCCGCAGGCAGTTAACGCTAAGGACCTGGAACGTTAGGTCAGCAGGCCCTGAATGAAAGCAGTGGAGACATCCGATGTGGGTAGGAAAGACGATAAATCTGATAGATCCACATTCCTAAAATTTAAGGGATCAGGCACAGCATAAAGAAAAACTCATGAAGACTTCCAACAGAACTGTAGAGTAAAAAGTCTCTAAAGACACTGAAATTTGCCTGACCACATTTTCATTTTTAAGTTTTAAGTTTCACATGATCATCAACACTTCCAACATCTGCCCAGAGCAATGAAAGCAAAACCCACTGAAGACCTGACCTGTCTTCCTCCAACACTTTACTAAGTCACAACACCCTTATCTTCAAGACCAACGAAGCTAATACCCCACTCACCACGCCGCGGCAGTAGCCCACCAGCCGATCTGCAGGATGTCTGCTATCGATGGCTGCGGAAACACAAGGACAAAGTCAGCACGCGGCCCAGGCTCATGCCCCCGAGGCAGGAACTGACCAGGCCATGGGCGCTACTGACCACGTGTGCGGAGCGGTGTCCTGCTCCTTGCTTGGGGGCGGCGCCGGGCTCGCACACTGACTGATAATCGTACGATTTGTTGAAAGCGTACACTGATATATTAACCAGGTGTCTCATCAGGCTAGGGTCAATCTCTCCAAAAAATCGTCCAATCTGATGAAGAAAAAGATGATTAAAGTTTAATTAGATGTACACCAAAGACGAACGCCTGAACCAGCCTAGGGAAGAAACAATGGGAAGGGAATGTGAACTAGAAGAACAGGAGAGCTTAAGAGCTAATCAAGTGGGAAGCCTGCTACCGCCCTGGAAAAGACTTAACAGCCGCGCGTCCTGAGCGCCTGGCTGCGACCTCTCTTGTGGGGAAAGAACACAGCACTGACCATCCTGCAGCACCTGACTGCAGGTCAGCACATGAGGTCATATGTTTCCAGGATCAACAGGTAGCTAATGTACCCCAGAGGACTACAGGTACTAATGGCTTTGCTATATCCATATGCTTCAGTGTATACAATGGAACACAGATGCAAACAGAGTCCAGTGCCTGCCGGGGAAATGAGGAGCGGCATAAATGAGGGAGTGGACTCAACTAGAAAGGACAAGATAAAGAGCTCCGAGGGACAGAGGAGCGGGCAGGAGCCCACGTAAGGGACAGGGCCCAGCTGCTCGGCCAGCCCACGCACAGCTGTACTCCAAGAGAACGGCCGTGCTCAGAGAACTTTTATCCCTTTTTAACTGGAGAAGTCACAAATGGAGAGTCAGGAATGAAATAAATTGGCAGCTAATTCAAATTCGTTGAAAGTCCTGGTTGAGACCAACAGACTATGCACCACCCACCTGCAAACCGGAGCCAAGCACTGCCTTTGGCTCAAACAGCTGTCTACCAAGTTCAGTATTATCGACTGATAGACCTTCCATGCCAAGCAATTTTCTGAGTGTCTGAAAGACCTAAATAAGTTCCCCTCTTATTAAAATCCTTCATTACAAGCGATTGTAACTGTTGGCATCAAAGGTGTGAAATCAGTTAATAAGCATAGAGAAAAGCTAGGTTTGGCATGTATTTCTTAATGGTTTACACAATACTGAGCATTCTGAAATTTATTTGGTGATGGAAGTAAAGCAGTGTGTTGATTTCTAGAGTGCCGATGGCATTTGTCCTGTTGATCAGGGAAATACATGCTGGAAACCTCGCATGCCGCTGCTCTGGGTACGCACCTGATTCGTATAATCATCATGATTTGCCATCAAAAGAAACCCGCCGTCATCCAGAATCACACAGTCCATCACCTATCAAAATAAAAACAGCGGTCAGTACCTTGGTAGGAAGTTTAACAGGTCACATTATCATTAGCCCGTTGTTTGACAAGATCAAAACAGCAAAAATGGGAATATTTCAGGGACTGTGTCTTCTCTCCAGCATCTGTGCTCGGAGACTCTGAAGAAATGCGGTGGGAGCTTGCCCACATGTTTCCACCAAGTCACCAGTGCTGAAAACACACCACCAGCCATCCAGGGGAGACCCAGATCCATCCCGACAAACCCTGAGAACAAGGCAAATACTCTTCTCATTCCTTTAAGCCCTCTATGTGTTCAGGAAACTGGACAAAGTATTCGATCATTTATTATTTTAAATATTTACATTTTGACTAGAAATTATTTCAGAAATCACCTTACATCCTGTAGTGCATGCTTCATAGACTAAAGAATAAAAGCAAGCAGCGTTAAGATTACAAGCATCTTATTTTTATGCTAAAAATGTTTGCTTGGACAATTGGAGATTTAAAAAGCAGAAGCACAGGAAAAGAAAGCCCACGGCTCATCCTGCAATAAAGAAAAAAATGCCACCCACATTTAAATAAAACTCAATTAATAATTAATGTTGAATAAAATCAGAATTATAACACTGTTTCCAGAGTTGGGAACATGATGAATTATGTTTCCCTAGCATGCAAGAAGCTTGCTGAAACCTTTGCTCTAGGAACAGCCACCACACATCCATTCACAGTGGATAACTTGTAAAAATTAAATGTATTGGGCTTTTCGGAAGTGACAATGATGGAGTTGACAGGAATTCCCTACTTCACTGGAAATAATCTACACACACACACACACACACACACACACACACAAAGGATCTGAAGAAACTAGTGATCTTCACTTTCAAATTTGGAATAAGTCATGTATTAAATTAAAGCAGCTTCAATTTTTGAACAATGTTAGTCTGCAAATTCTTTTCCAGTTCCTCAACTGGAACAGAATGGAAAATAATGTACGACAACATGAAACCTAAGCTTTGTTGATTTAAACATGATAATACAGTATGTGACTCCAGGATTTAGTAATAAAAAACTTTTGCCATCCATATAAATGGTGTGAAAAATTCAAAGAAGATTCAAAAGATGAATGAAATCATTGAACACCAAGAAGACATTTTGGTTAGAAACGTTTCAGTGAGGCATAGGGCTGAAGAGAGAGATGCACAAGAACCCTGATGGAAGTAGAGAACACCGTGCACACGCACATGGATACTCTTGCCTTTTCATTCCATCTAAATATTTTTTTTTTTGGTCTTTTTTGTTTTTATCGGTACCAGGGATCGAACTCACGACTGCCTGCTTGCAAGGAAGGCGCTTATGCCGCTGGCTAAATCCCCAGCCCCCATCTAAATATTTTTTTTTTTAAAAAAGCACTTACAGATAAGAATTAAAACTTCCAAAACTAAAATAATCAGTACGTTTATTTTTAGAATTTTTATCATTTAATTTAAAATCTCTGCTTTTTAAATCAATAAAGTCTCAGCAAGTAAGAGTAATAAAAGAAAATACTGTCATTAAATGTATTTTAAAGAGTTTTCTTACATCGCTGTTTCTTTTGCAGTCACAAATTGGGCCAGCACACTGAAAGATAGAAATAGTTATCTCATTTATTTTAATTATATTAATGAAATATTAATTATATTTCAGAGTACTTTATCTAGTATCAGATAAGATTACATAATGGTCAAGTAAAAAAGAATAATTTTGCCTTTAAAATTAGAAAATATCAACAATTGAGATGTTAACTAGCCTATCAAATTATGTATTTAATGTTTTAAATTTATTGACTAAGTAAAACAAACTTTGTAGTCACAGGAATCAATATTTCTATTCCTAGGGTAGTGATGGTGAAAATTTATTTTGCCACTCTATAAGGAGCTTAGCTTTTTAAAATTTGAGAATGTTAACTTGTATCATAAAAAAAAAAAAAAAAAATTAAAAAAGTCTTACCGGATCCCTAATTGAGGTTTTGGTGAAGTTCTCTATCCAGGAATTCACATCGATTTTAATTCCAACAACTGAAATATAATTTGAATTAAAGGCATAATTAACTGTGATATTATCTTTGACAGTCTGGGGCAGTGATGGCGAACCTTTTAGTTTCAATGTTAACAAACGGCCAGTTGTGGCACGCGTGCACAGGTTCGCCACCACTGGTCTAGGCGATTTATGTCACAGCAAGTAAGTGTTGGGTTGAAAATAGTATTTTTTACAGAGATATTAGGGTAGTGTAGGGTCTTCACTAAGAACTAGTGCTACTAGTTCGTGAACTGTTACATGCGCTGTGATTTATATTCACTGAACACGTGCGCTCCTTTGCTAAGGCTCCAAGCCGAGTAGAGCTGCAGGGTCTCCAGGTCACCCAGGGCAGCTGGGGCCTGCAGTGTGGAGGGCAGAGTGGGCAGGAGAGAGGCCTGTGGAGGGCAGCAGAGAGAACAGCGAGCCAGCAGCACTGAGGACTGGGGCCACCGTGAGCCATAGATGTGCTCCCAGGAGCTGGAAAACCACCCGTCTCACTGCGCCCTCCGTCCATGTTACGCCAGCGGAGTCACAGAATGAGCAGATCCCCACTGGATCCCCACTGGATCCCCACTGGATCTCCACTGGATCCCCACTGGACCCCCACTGGATCCCCACTGGACCCCCACTGGATCCCCACTGGATCCCCACTGGATCTCCACTGGATCCCCACTCACTCCTGTCCACTTGTAATCCTCCTGGATGCTCGGTTTCCCTGTGTTTTTGTTTGCTTGTTTGATTTCTTTTACCAAAGCTTCAGTTTACCACATATTATACTGCACGTTCTGATAGCCACCTCCCTGGTTCTCCCTGAGGGCCTGCAGCAGTCTACCACACAGATACTCCACAACTTGCAGTTCCCCACTGCTGAAACCTTTCATGAACACATTATTTCAAGTATGTACAGCCTTGCCCACATACTTGGTTATATCAGAGAACAGGAGAGACTTCTAGAGTACAATGGCTAGGTCAACCCAAGATTTAAATTTTTTGTATGTAATACTAAGCCGATTATATAAATTTACAAACAGCACACAAACACAGCCACTTCTTTGAAAATTCCTCAGCTTCATATAGTAACAATTCCTTTATTTCATACGTTGCTAAGTGTTATTATTATTATTTTAATTTCCATGTCACCGACTTGGAGGCTTCCTGGTACATGCTGCCAGTTTATGACATAAAGGTGAGGTCATATCTACTGCTGGTCACATTCGCACATACAACATGCATGCTCACCTGCGGGTTTAAGGAGTTTTCCTTGGATGTATATTTCTACAGCTTTGCTTACCATAATGCCTGATTCGTAGGCACCGGGTCCACTTTCTAAAGAAAAGAAAAGGCGATCTAGATAAATCAAGAGACTGAATTTCTTTGAACAGATATACGTGGATAATGTTTCCTCAAAATTACTAGTGTTTGTGGTCTGCAAAGAGATCTCCTCCGTCTCTTCTTCTGGTACATACCAGGCAGACTAGATTGTCCACGGACTGATTTGCCACAGTGTCATACATGTACACCAAATGCCCCTTTCACGGCCTTTGCTAAAGCGCGGGGAGGCTGCTGAAGTGCAGTGAATTGGGAAGAATGAACCTGGGTCTATGCAGCTACCTGCCTTTCATGGATAAACACTCTTAAACAAAACCGAAATTCTCGGAACTTCAGTTGCCTCATTTGTGGAAATGGATCCTGTGCTCAGAGATGTCACAGAGGTAAAACTGAGGGATTTTGTTTTTGAGGGGCATAACCAGACAAAACCTTTTAAAGGATCTATTTGTATAATCCCTACAAAAGGCAGCTCATCAATTCACTCCACTTAAATTCACTGTAGATTTTTCAACGTATTTGCTGGTGTGGGAGCGCAGGTAGCAGCAATAAATTGTTAAAACAGAACAGAGAAAGCCGAGTTCCAAGGCGACACTTACTGTTAAAGTAAGGAGCTGTGAAGATGTAGTTATCATTATCCAGGCTCCGCTTGTAGAAGCTGTCCTCGTAGGTTTCTGGGTTTTCCTGCCAATTTTCTCCAGCTCTAAGGAGGAAATGGCTCATCATTTGTATTCTTTAAACTCCCTGATAACCCACTTTTCCCTCTGCACCGCCCTGGCTTTACAGATACCGTCTGCATCTCGGGATGTCAGAGGGAGTGACTGTGGGTGACAGCATAGATGGCTGGACGCTCATTAGGAAGCAATACATCAGGATGCATTACATTACGAGTCACAACAGTGACTCTTCATTTTCCTCTGCCGTGGACTAGATAGAAAATTATGGGTAAGTCAGCTAATAAGCTAATTAATATCAATAGGCCTTGCGCCTCTTGCCTACTGTGCAAACTATTCCTCAGGTACAAAGATAAGCTGCACCAAAGAATACTGAAATCATGGTAGAATTTTTCAGAAAAAAATGATTTGCAATACATTGTCATATTACTCTAAACAATGACTGCGATTTATTCTAATGATGAACAGTTTCCTCTGAAGAATGGCTTCCTTCCACAGTCACGTGCAGATCGCTGGCGCAGTCTGCCGTAATGCGGTTATTTTCACAGATGCTGTTTGAACTTACTCTTTGGGATAAACTCTGGTAATCCCGCCATCCGTCACAACGAACCGAGCTCTCACTCCCTTGCTGAAACAGAAGACAAAAGAGGATGTTTTGTATTAAACTTACCCAGAGACACAAAATTAGGTTTTGGTGATTCAAGAGATAAAGAACAAGTTCGGAAAGGAAGTCAAAGATGCAAAGCTAAGTTTTAACAAAGGCCACAGCAAGGAAGGGGTCTCCATGGGGACTGCGAGGAGGGTTTGCACGGGGAATAATGACTGGGCCACATCATGCAGGTGGAAGAGGAGCAGACAGGGATGATGGGGAGACAGGAAGTCATCACAGATAACGTGAGAAGCGTAAGTTTTAGGGAGAGTGCTGGTGTTTGGTGTAGGAAAAGCCTCAGGCAAAGGCAGAGTAGAAGTCAAGGGTCAAGGACAAAGTTCCAGAGAATGGTGAGCTAGTGAATGAGGCTGGAATTCATGCAGGAGCTTTAGCTGTGTCTAGAAAGTAGCCCTGCGTGCTGGAGATTCCTGCAGGCACGCAACGTGTGGGGAAAGGCCGGGAGCTGCGTGTGGAGGAGCAGGAAACCGAAGAGCCCGCAAAGTCGGCTACAATAATTGCTTAAAAATGGGATTATAAGGTGTTGATTATGGAAGAGAAAAGACGCTTGTCAGGGCAACATGCACCATTTAGTTATGGGCTGAAATAGGGATTCTTAATGAGAATCATAACACATTTCTCCATTTCTTCGCTGGATGTTTGGGAGTTGTAATTAGAAAGCCAACTAAACATTCACGAGACGTCCAACTTTCTCACGCACACAGGAAGACACAAACAGGCCTGTTTAATTTGGTTTATTCTCACTGAAGTGTAAATCTGACTAACAGCAGATTTTATTACTGAAATACACCCAAAACTGAAAATGCAAGCTGTCAACAATTACAAAATTATTTCCTTGAGAAATTCTTATTAAATATAAATAACATACTATTTTGTGCATGAATGAACTCCCTATGATGAACAGAACCATTAGGTACTATCAACAAAAATAAAAATAAAAAGAGATAAATAATAAAATTTAAATTCACTAGGCCCATTATCTGCACATTTCCCAGGGAGAAGCTAAACTGAGGTGCAGAATGTGTATTTTTTATTATTAATAAGGACAAATACTTACATATTTTTTTGCTTACTCCAGTAATTTTGGACAAGTTCGTTGGTAAAACCTGCATCCAGCAAGACTCTATTAATCAAGTCTGTATTGCCTATCAGAAAAAAGAATACAATTATATTCATATAGTTTTTAATTAGGATGATAAATATATTTTCAATTTTCAAAAAAGTTGGAGACAGATGATGTTTCCATGACTTTAAAAACACATTTTGTACTCATTTATGCATTCCTTATTGCTCATGTTAGTTTAGTCTACGTTTTCTTGTTTTGTTTTGTTCCATTTCTTTTTTAAAAAAATGGATGAAGATAGTGGAAAACTGAGCTCCAAAAAGAAACTATTTTGTAAACTTGATCCAAAATATAACCTGTCATGTCAGGGGACCATAAGAAATTGGTTTTCCTGTGGTTTTTGCTTATTTTTTAGGTTAGTATGGTGACTTCAGTATAACTTCAATTTTATATACATAAAAATTTTATATAACTACAAGTCTTGCACACAATCGTGCCTGTCTGTATCTCTGCATCTATGCCATAGTGTTAATTCTAAATTTACCAAGTAAACAAATGAAATATTCTTTCTATACCAAAAGCTACTTTTAAAAGTTCTTCCTTATTCTCAGTAGCAAAACATTAAGGTAATCGTGGGGCAAATTTGACTTTTATGAGAAATACAGTACATATCCTTTTTGCACGGAAGCAGGTTCAAGGAACAGAGCACCCATAGCAGACCAGCTCTCCTCAAGACAGGATTTTGGAACCTCCTGGACTGGGAAAGAGCCCAGGTTGCGGGCTGCCATCTCCGGAATAACTGAAGGGTGCCACAGCCCAAGAGCAAAGGTGCTGGGGGAGGAGAAGAGGGGGCCAAGGCTTAAACATCAGCGCCTTCCTCCCTCTCCTGCTTCCTCTGCTCTGAGCCAGGGGAGCTCAGAAATAACCTCCAAGCAGCCTGTAATGTTTCATGGTCATGATAAAACCTCACTTATTCAGATGAGGAATATACAGTGTTAGTTAATAACCACTTACAATAGGAAGTGGGGGTGGGAACGGCTGGAAACATCTTAAATAATTTTAATTAGCTTAAGATTTCCTTCATCCAGAATTAAAGGATCAATTTAACGTGTATGTGAAAGTACATTTCATTTCATACCAGGAGCTGTCTTCTTTTACTGTATAATTTTAGAAAGTGTAGGACTTTAAATGATAGCCCATTTGAAAAGTAAATGATACATTTTAATAGTCACCATTGTTTTTAGGTCAAACAGAGGTGTATTATTCTAATCTGTCATATAAATCAGGTTTGCAAGTAATTTTAAGATGATTTTTATCGTCTCATTATGCTTCATATATCTCAAAATATGTATCCAGCAGGGGTTACATACAATATATAAACTATTGGAGTTAATCTTTCCTTTACACACAGTTTTCAAATGTTAGGAGAACTCTCTCTTGGCCTGATTCTTCTTTACAGTGACAAGACCACAGCAGACAACCCGCCGAGCACCACCCAACAGGGAGATGATGAAAAGAGGCAACACTCTATAGCACGCCCTTACGCTCCGTTCAAAAACGCAACTGTAGGGAAGAATCTGAATTTCACTAGTGGATTGAGGAGAAGTGTTTCTTTCACACAGCAAAATTAAACATGAATGCTCTTTTTAAAAATAAACTATTTAGAGCATAGATTTCTATCACTTATAAAACATTTTAGTTTTACATACTATTTGATAACATAAGAATAAGCATTAAGAAACATCTAACTATATAGTGTGAGTTCTTTTCTACAATTAAAGATCTATTAATTTTCAGCCTACACATGCTCATATTACCACTGCAAACACTACCCACTGGATCACAGGAGAGGCAGACACAAAAAGCTCAGACAGCAACAGTATGAATTATACTGAAAGCATTTTTTAAAAAGCACACACTTCCTTAGGAACTAGAGTCAGTGAAAAAATGATTCCAATTGTCCAGGTTTTATGAAAAATTATTATATACATTAAAATAATTATTTATAATAAATCACTCTTTATAAAGAGTATATGGTTGTTACATATTTTGCTACCCCAAGGAATATTCAACAATTTTATTATGCATTAATAGGAAATAAGCAGTGAGATAAAGCAACTCGTAGGCCCTGGCCTCGGTTGGGCCCCCAGGGAGAAGCAGGGTCTGGATCACCTCCTTAGCAGGAGGCTGCAGACCTCAGCTGCCCAGGGCAGCTTTGCAGAGTGGCCCTTTCCCTCAAATTTCTAATTCACACTAAAGTCAAGCCGGCAGCAAGTCATTATCTTTTCCTTTGTGACAAATGTTAACTTATGACAGAGCCCTGAGGAGACAGTTTGTTCACCTAAATGGTTTGTTTGACTGTTAGTGGCAGAAAGAAGAACCATGCTATTTTTTTTAAAAAGAGAGAAAGGAGACCAAGGAAGAGAGAGGGGAGCAAGGATCAAACTGTCACATTTTACCCTTAAACTGTCTTAATAGAGTATGCAAATCAATGAGCTTACTAATAAATTACTGGGGTTATCACACAGTACAGGGATAAAGGTTAAGCTCCGGCCACACTGGCTGTAACCAAACGGAAGGAGTGATTGCAGATTGATGCATACTTACATGATGGGTTGTTTGGTGTTTTTCTGTCAATAAACTCATTGAAATTCAAAAGAAATTCAGTGTTGTTTTCAGATGGTTTAAGGTCATTGCAGTAATCTCTGAAAAACATATATTTCAGGATATTAGATATTAATATAAAAACTTCAGAGGGCAATTAGAAATAACAGACTTTCTCTTTTCACTTGTTCCTAGTTGCGTATTTTTCAAGTTGTTAAATGTCTTGTGATATCTCTTTCGTCATCTCCATAATGGAATAATAACTTGCCACTGAGAGTTGAGATTAGACATGTTAAACAGCTGGTCTTTGGTGAGTGAGAGCTCAATAAACATGAGGTTTTATTGTACAGATTAAACTATTATCATTGCATATTATGGGTTTTACAGTTTTCATAGAAATTACAACAGGAACTTAAAAGATTCATTCATTAAAATATAAATAAACTGATCACATTAACATTTTATGTGAAATTTCTGTATTTAAAAACTAGAGAGAAAGCATTTTTACATGTCTACAGAATCTCTTTTATTCCCAACTTAAAAGACAAGAACTCTGTTCGCTCAATCAAGGGCAAGATTTTTGCTTTGGAACACAATGAAAGTATGTGCTTACAGAGACAGGCAGCAAGGAAGATGGTCGTTTTAATCAAAGGAAGTCATTCAAATGTTAACGGCTGTTCTTTTTTAATGGTGTAGCAGAATTCCATTATTTGTAATGTCTCGCTTATTAGCTATGATATAGAATCAGGAAGAATATCAGAATACTGTCACGTCAAAATATAGGGCCCTCTCTTTCACTTTAAGTATTTTGGGCATCCATGATTTTCAACAGCATAAATTGATCATTTGGAAACTACTGTGCCAGACTTTGACATGACATGGTCATGGCGCCATATTGAAAACTGCACCTGTATGACCAGTGACCTCGCCAGCTGGGCCTGCACGGGACGCCATCATGTTTGCAAAGGTGGACACTGTTTTCCCTAAACTCTGATTGGTTTTGCTGAAAAGCTCAAATTTTGTCACTGGCAACAAATAGTGCTTAAGTGTTTTCTTCAAGGTAAAAGGCTCAGTTGATTCATTTTTGAAAACCGTCTGCCGCACAGCACAGGCTGATAGCCCGAGCTCATTTTTTATTTGCCATTTAAGTACAATCGTTATAGGGGCAAAATAAGCCACTTGGTCCAGCTCCCAACTCAATCTTGAGTTCTTTTCACTGCGACATTCAAGTTACTGTAGAAGGAGCCTTTCCAGTTTTATCAAACAATATTTTCAAAAAGAGTATTTCCTCTTTTCTAGGGAGAAGCTTCAATCAAGTTAATGACTCTTACTGGCTCATTTTCAATATTTTAAAATAAAACTGGCTTTACCCCCTAGTGGGTGCCGGTAGTGAAGACTAGCTTGGCCGGTAGAGACACTGATCTGATTTACGCTGTCATCTTCTACCACAGATTTTCCTTCACCAGCACAAACATCAGTACACGGAAAAGGAAGGCTGCACTTAGCATCTTGATGCAAATGGTTGGAACCAGTGAGAGCCCTGAGACGGTCTCCTGAGCCTGTATGGTTCTGCAAACCTTCCTTTGAGAACCACACTCAGAAATTATTCAGAAATTCAAAATAAAAATAAAGTGTAAAAAGCTCACAATTAGAATTACTGAGCTAAGACAACCAAAGAACAGTGTTCGAGATAAAGCACAATTAAACAGAAATTAAAGTGTAAACACGTTCAGAGGCAAAGCCATTACTTAAACACCAAAGTCTCAAAGCACAGCAGAACCAGAAGTTCAAAACAAAACAAAACAAAAACTCTACGGAAAAGTTTGGCCTGGAGGCCAGGTTTAGAAAGTTTACAGGACTTAAAGTGCTGGGCTGTTGACTGAGCTCAATTTGCTTTTTCCCGCAGTGCTGCCCTGTCTCAGAAACAAACAGTAAAAGCCACGTCCATGTTGAAACCAGTAGTGGAAGGGGACAGGTCGCTGGAGGCCAGCTAGAGAGCACACAGCGATGGAAACACAGGATCCCGCAGGTGGTGTCACCGAGACGAGTTCCCTGGGGAGGAAGGAACCAGAGCACACCAAGGAGCCCCACCAGAGCCTGCTGGGCAGTGGAGACAGGACAGTCACCCCCAAGCGGGGAGCCTGCACACCCCACAGACTCCAGGATCAATCACCGTTTCTGGGGTTCCCATCCCAGGGAGTGCAGAGGGTGCTCTACAAGGACATGGTCAGCAAAACAGTGCAGGGTCCCCCAGAAACTGGGCGAGGGCTTCCTGATGCTCATTCCCTGTGGCCGTGCTCCTCCAAGAGAAACCAATTTTACACACACTGTTCATTAGTTAATCTCTCTCAGGAGGAAATTCCTCAGGGAAACTGAGGCAGCAAAAGGAGAAAGGGCTCAGATGGCTTTGAAGGAAAAATACGGAACCTGAGTTTGTCCCCAAAGACTGAGAGCTACGTCTTCGGGTCATTTTGCATCTCAGACTAAGTGGGCTTTGAGACGCAAGTGGCTTGGAACTCACTCAGCTGTGCTCTTCCCAGTCCCACAGAATCACTTCCAGGACGCCAGGGTGCCTTTGTCTTCATTAAGCCCATCAAACTTACACAGGTGGGCACTTAACTGCAGGCTACGGCACACGGTTTCTGTCTCATCCTAACTCACTTTATTTCTGATTAACCAAGCAGATGGTGAAATCATCCACATTTGAGACTGCCTGAGACACAGACTTATCAAGAGCCCTTCTGCATGCCTATTCTCAACGTTTTCCCTTTTAAAACCTAAGAAAATGGCAAATGCTGATTATTAAGCAGGCTCAAATAGCTTAACTTAGTTCAGGACTGACAAGAATTTATTCCTAAAATCTATAAGATCTTTAGTGTAAATAAGTGATTTAAATACCCTTCACTAATTAACACTCTTCATACAACTATGCTTTCTGCTAAAACAGTAAAGATAACACTTATTTACAGCTCATGTCTAAGAACTGTGGTAAGTATTTTGCATTCATTTTTTTGTTTAAAGCTAATAGATCTATAAAATAGACATCATTTTGCCACTAAAGACAGGCAGACAGAAGGTGACAGGAGCAAAACAGATCTGAAAAGCGAGCCAACCAGGGCTCATGCTTTTTGTAGAAGCATGAGCTTTTCATTAGTTACAGTGACGGAAAAATCATAGGGTTGCAATCATGTACCACACAGATTTCTGTTTGTTTCAGTTTTCTCTTTATCCCAATTTCTGTCACTTTATTTTCCACCACTCCAAATACACACCTAGCACTCACTTTTCCAAAGAAGCTTCCCTACAAAAATATTCTACTTGAATGTACTGGGTGTTCTGAGATCCTTTAGGCTTGCATATTCCATGTGCGTGCTCATACACTTAGGAGCAGCAGGAAACTGGTTGAAATTCCATCTTCTTTAGCATGTCTAAAACTGCCTCCTAATCTGTGAAATGGGCACAATAATGCTAGCTTACTACGGCACTGCTCTGAAGAGTAAGTATAACAGTGCATGTAAAGGGCTTAACACACGCTAACTGAACAGGACACACTGCCTCCTCTCCATTCTTGGAAATGTTTTCCTCACCTGAGCACAGGCGAATTCTAGTCTCTCGGCAGCTACACTGACTTTAAATGTGTCTTGGACCACAGAAACTGGCATATGCCAATCCTTAGCGAGTAACAAAGCTCACAGCTCGTGAACTGGAACCCCAAGGGACAGTTCCTGCTACACCACACAGTCCCGGGCTTTTCCCAGCATTTCTCCCTGTCCTGTGGCAACGCTGAGGACCCCAGTCTGGCATTTATCAGCTGGGAGAGAGGAGTGAAACAGTGTTCCTGAGAAAAAGTCTGCACCAGGATCCCTGCTGAGATTTTGGAGAAAAGTTGTCATTTTAGCATCATGTCACCGTGATATATGCACACCCATGTTTATAGCAGCACAATCTGTAATAGCCAGATCTTAGGAACAGTCAAAATACCCATCAATTGAGGAATGGATAAAAAAGATGTGGCATTTTTATACAATGGAGTACCACTCAGCTATAAAGAAGGATGAACTTGAGGCTTTTATAGGTAAATGGATGCAACTTGAGACCATACTCATAAGTGAAATAAATCAGACTCAAGTAAATATTGTATTGCCTCCCTAGTGTAAAAAAATGAAAGAGTAATAAAATCCAAAATGTATAATAGATATTGTGAAAATGAAGCGGAGAGGAAGTGCTCAAAAAGACAGAACAAATGGGACAGCAGGAAGGAGAAAAGGGAGAAGAGTGCATGTATATAGGTCTGTGTGTGTATGTGTGTGTGTATACCAGGCAGATAACTACACCACTGAGCTCTGTTAGTCCATCAAAAAGAACAGGCTGTATTTTCACTGGCTGATCATTTTTTCATGCCTAAGTCTTGCAGTGTGAACAACTACTTTGAAGATAACAATATGCACTATGCTAACTGGTGTTAATTTTCTTTTATTTTGTTTTGAAATTCTGTATCATTTTTATCCTTTTTTTGTTTTTAAAATAAAAAAGTTTCATTTCATCATAGACTGAATTTTAAGCTTTCTTATATTTTGCTATATTAATATTCTTGAGGGAAACTCAGCTTTCTAGCTAATATTAATAACTGGATCATAAAGGAGAATATTCATAGTATTATTTTTCTAGTTTAAACTGATTTTAGAAGTTTTAGGTCACTTAGAAATAACTAAGCTGAAGTTGCTCAAAGCTACTACTGTCTGAAAAATACTAGTAAGACTGCGGTATCACTGCTAAATCTGAAACTGATTTTATTGCTTGAGGTGGCTGACAAGCATGTGGCACCAGGGCAGGGGCTGCGGTGACACATTCCCAGCTGAGTGAGGACCTGCTTCGGCCCATGATACGGAGCCACCTGATTACTTTGACTCCCTGTTGGAATGAGCTGGCGTTCACTTTTCTTTCTGTTTGTTTTTCAAGATGCGTATGAATGGGATACAAGATCTTCATTAAATGGTAGAAATCCAATCACATGATTTAAAAATATATTTTTCACAGGTTTATAGGTTCTCTGATTACTAAGTATTCATTAGCAGTCACACTATGTCAGTCAATGAGCGGGATACTGGGTGCGGAAGGCTAATGGAGAAAAGTGAGTCACCTGCGACGCCGCCCATGCTGGGGGGGACAGGGAACTGCAGGACGCTGAGGCGACCGCAGGGATGCACACGCCAGGGAAGGTGGGAAACTCCAGGGAGAACCTGGAGCCGGGCTTTGGAAGACTGCGGCATGTGAGGCACAAAGGAGAATGTGAGGGCAGACTATGGCAGAAAACAGCGATAGAGCAGCCTGAGTTCTGTCTGCCTAAAATCTAGGTCAGAGCTGAACAGGCAGAGGCCGCACAGCAGGGGCTCTGCTCCATGGCTGCCTCTCCAGCAGCTGCAGGGCACCGGCAGCACAAGAGTCGCTGAGCTCCGGTTAACACAGGCAGCAGGAGGCAGGCCCCAGAGTTAGGGCCTGGGGCCAGGGACAGCGACACGGAGACCTCGGGCCACACTGGTGCAAGCTCTGATACACAGTGCAGATTATCCTGAGGACGACTCGGGCCACCGGCTGGCGTGGAGCAGATCAGAACCAGGCCTGACTTTCTGTTTCAGAGGCGCTGCTCAGGTGCAGGGTGGAGGCAGGCCCGATCAGGGACTGCAGGGAGGAAGGACTGGGGTGGTCCGGACACAGCCTGGGGCCACCTGGACAAGGTGCACACAGGAGGTGGCCTGGGCTGGGACAAAGCCAGGGGGAGTGACAGGTGTATAAGGCTTTCCTTAGACAAGGTCGGCCCGGTGCCGGGATGGGTGAGCTCTTAGAGGGACAGGAAGGGGAGCTGTGCAGAACTGTGGTCAGCGGGCCGGGCTGCACACTGGTGTCTGCTTCCCTGACACCACAGAAGAGAACGAATAGTTAAAGTTACTAAATCTGAAGCCCCATGAAGGTGTCCTTAGGTCTCTATGAAGGCCTGGCACTGACACGGGTAGTGTAGACAGTCTGGAAAGAGACACAGGCAGGTCTGCACTGCAAAGGCCAGTGCTCAGGCATCTCCATCCCCAGGTGCTAGGCCCATCCCTCCAGGCACAGGGCACCGGAGTGACCTCCTAGCTTGCAGGCAGGGTGCAGATGGGAGGCTCATGGCATGAAGAGAAGATGGGAGCACTCAGAAGAGCAAAGGAAGCTCATGAAAGGCCTGAGAATGTGCAGCCAGCGGGGGTCAAACCCAGCAGGCGGGCATCTCCCAGTGGGCCGAGGCCAGGCGCCAGGAGAGGCCAGCTCCCCGCCTCTCCATGCCGGAAGGGGTGTCTTGCACAAAGCCAAGCTTAAGCTTTATCAACTGCATCTTTTCAAAACGTTATACAGGCTTCTTGTTTCTATGTAGAATCAGAATTCACAAATGTGCTTGTGTCAGTACAACAGAGTGACTCTGGATAATCTCCATGAGCCCTATTTGTATTCTCAGAGTAAATTACTTGGAAAGGTGAAGTGTAAAAATTAACATAAATACTGTGTCTATTTTCTTAGTTAATGTAGGTTTATATGAAATGTATTATTTGAATACACCAAGTATCTGCTGGATACTAGGTATCAAAAGCTGAGGGAAGAAAAGGAACGAGGGCTACTGAGTAGTTTCAAATAATTACAAGAAATTACAGCTGAGCTAAAAGAATATTAGGGATCAGCAGGAAATTACACAAGAGATAAAATACAGCAGGAGAAAAAATAATGTGACTATAAAAAATTACACCAGCAATGTCATTCATTAAAGTGGGGTTTCCCAGGAAGCTGTGTTTAGAATATAAACAAAAATCAATTATGAAGTTAAAACACTGCATATGTGTAAGTACCCATTTGCATTTGCACATGTCTGTGTATGCCTTTGGGGAGAGTGCACGTGAACTCTGTAAGTGGAATAGTCTGTGTACACTCACAAGTGCAAAAGCACCGTCCTTCATTACTGCAGGATGTACTAGAAGTTCCACAGGACAAGGCTGCACCCGCCTTATTCAGCACCGTATATCGGAGACAGCACACCATGTAGCACACAGCGACTGCCAGGTATTTGACTGAGTCAGTGGGTAAGAGAAGAAGCTGCTGCAAAGTTTTAAAGTCATGGTTCCTCTTAGTTCCATAACTTGACATGGAATCAAAATAGGCAGTCGACTCCAATTCAGAATTTTTGTTGAAAGACTTTCCCAACCATACGAGTTGTAAAAAAGGCAACAAAACAAAACCAACCTTGGCGCGATGAACGTGTAACCAGATTCTTCGAAGTTATCTGGCTTGAGGGTTTCTGAATCTGCAATGTAATGATGCATAATTAGATAAACAATAGCGCATGATCAGAGATTTGATGACCACAGAAGGCACTGGAAAGACTACCTACTGCGACACATGGACTACTTAGCTCCTAAATTTGTACTAGGCCAGTAACTATGGGGGAGTTCAACGTTCCCAATAAACTAAATCTTTATATGAATTAATTTCATTATACTATTACAACAGGAATAACAGATAAAATGCCCTCTACATTTTTCCTATTCACTAAAGCTACTACAACCAAGTAGCTTTAAAAAGAGATGTCAGGTATCTTATTTAAAATGTCAATAGGAAAAGTTTAGTAATCATCTGATAAAGAAAAGTGTTGTAATAAATCCATTAATGCATATAATGAGTTAATGACGTTCATCATGTTCCGTATGAATTAGCAGGCAGTGGGATAAAATATACACGTTTATAGCTAACGAACGAAATCCACAATGTGACACAGGTTGCAAGTGGAATGTAAGCGTCTTCCTCCCCCCATCATGGCGGCTAAGGTCTGAGTGACAGTGGAGGGAAGCCTAGCCAGGGAGAAGCAGAGGAAACTGTCCAGTAGAAGCGGACGTGGCTGTGGAATGCCAAGTGTACTACACAGAAAGAAATTGAGCAACAAGAAAATACTTGCCCTTCATTTTTCCCTTTTTTGCTGTCAAAATCCATCAGAAAGAGAAAGCAGGGAAACAAAAAAAAAGAGGGTAAAGCAAAGGGGGTCACAAACAATATTTTATTCAATGACTTTCTTGAATAAAAATATTGTGCATAGATCAAAGGTTCATTTATGTACAGCTGTAGTCTGGAAAACACGTATTTCTGAAGGCTGGGAAGGATGTCCTGTTCTAGATCACCCTGTCTGTGCTGGGGTTACTGCCAGGGGCTGTTTTGCAGAGTGGTTAATGCAGGTGCAATACGAATGCCGCCAGCCTATTAACAGAAGCACTTACCAGTCGCTGGAGCCGTACTAGTTACCCCTTCATTATCGAGTGAAGAGCTAGCTCATGCATTACTGTGTTTTATTAAAAGACCATCATATCTGTTAAGTGCAAATATGAGCTTACTGGGCCTCATAATATCCTATGAAAAAGGCCTTCAGAGACCAGAAGAGAACTGATAGAGAAGTGCAGGAGACCGTGGTTTCCTTTGAAATCAGATGTGATACACAATTATATCCACATAATTATCTGCATATATAGTTTTTACTTAATTCTTGTTACTAATGATCGAGCAATGTGGAAAGGATATGATGGTCATTTTACTTTACTAAATCTAGCCACTCAAAATGAAATAAAGATTAACAAGGACTTGAAATATGCACTAATGTTAATAGCTACTCCACATTCCAAATGATGCTTAAGAAGAAGAAGAAAAAAAAAAAAAAAAAAAAAAAAAACTAATCCATCTGAGTTATTGAGACATTAATTTGGATCATGGAAAGAGTTAACTGCCAAGGACAATATTATTCTGGCCAAATGCAAAAACACAAGAAAGCCAAAAGGAAAGATAAGCAAAGGAAAAGCTTCACTAGCACAGAGCCATGAGCGGAGAGCAGGTGGACAGCGTGGAGGACACTTCAGGCAGCCAGCAGACCTGGGGAGACAGCCAGGGAGGACACGGCGTGGCAATGATTCCGGGGCACATAGCAAGGCGGGGAGGCCGGGGGACTGCTGCTGATCTCGCAGTCAGTACCTGCTCATATTCTATCGGAGTAGAATATTTCTTGTTCCTTGCATGTTTGGAATGGGTTAGAATCATTGCTGCAGATCTAGTGACCGCGCCTACTAAAACCTACTAAAACGCCTTGGGTATTCCCAAATCTAGACGTATTTAAACATCGGAGAGCAGGAGATCATCACAAATAGACCCTGAGGTCACTTTCACAGTACTTACATCTGGCCTGAGTTATTGTCTCTTCTATTTTGGCTTTTATATAGTAAAAACTGTAGGTTGGTAATACCAAGGCCAAACTGCAATAGAAACAAGAGAAGCATAAACACAAACAAACAAAAGTGAAACAGAACATAAAAAAAAAGACACGTCAGGTTCACGGGAAAATCCAACGATCTTCCTCGTGGGAGGAAAGGACATACCACTTTGACAAGAAAATGCACTCAGCAAAGAGTACTTAATTTCCTCCCCACTATCCTGAGTGAGCCAGCTCTCCACATGGAGGGAATCAGGAGACTCGTGCGAAGTTAGCTATCAAAGGCATCCCTGGATTAGCCCAGGAGGCAGAGTTGTGAGGTCCCTGATACACTGCCAGAGAATTACATTAAAACACTCTGAAGTTAAAAAAAGTAAAAGTATCCCTCGTGTTCCTCCTCAGTACTCCGACTCCTTGGGCGTTGTGTCCTGAGTGTCACACAGCACTGAAGTGCTTTGTACGCAGCACAGAGAAGCAAAATCCCAGACCGGACAGTCGTTACTACTGCCCTGAGCACCGTCATGTGGAATGCATATCTGAGGCCTAAACACCTACTATTTCAGCAGTGGGTAAGTTCCCGAGTGCCCACTTGTGGGTGAGTTTAGCGGCTTTCCAGCACTGCCGAGACTGCCTCTGTCTGTCCTCGCTTCTTACCAGCATGCAAGGAGGCCACTGCGTTCACTGCCAGCCCATTTACTGCAGATGCCCTGTAATATCTGTGGATTGCTGTCAGGAACAGCAGCAAGGACTTCTTGAATTCAGTGGCACAGGACAGTCACAGAGCCATTCTAGGCTGAGTAGATGTCCTAACCCAAGGGCAACTCCGCTGCAAATCTTGGGCCAAATTCCAAACACTTTAGACACAAAGAATGTCAAAGGAGTACTTCATGGAGCTCACGTCGTGACCGCTCAGAATAAAAGCTGTTGTGGAAGGACCCTGCTCATTTGGAAACTGTGGTTAATGTAGTGTATGTAAAAGCATACTGATGCTGCAGAACTGTTAACAGCTTCAGGCTACGCGGCCTCCACGGCACACACTCTGGTTTATGCGCACGTGCAGAACCTAACTGAAGACTCCACACGCACCTGCAGCTGCTCTGAATACAGAGGGCAACTTGGGGTCCACGGGTGCCAAAAGCACGGCGCTCTGTAGCCCAGCCAGTAGAACGACTTTCACAGCACAGCGCTTGATTGAAGGATCCCTTAAGTCACCCAACACGCACTTTTCATATTTATTCCAAAATGTAGAGGTGCAGGGGTGAGGCTGTGCGTTCCCAGACACTTGGGTATCCTGCGAGGGGGCCGTTAACAGGTTCTCAACTGCTCTGGCCTCAGGTATGCTCAGCCTTGGGGCTGAACCCCAACCTACCATCTCAGTGTATGTTATGTATGGATAATGTGGGATAAGACACAGCGTGAAATTTCTGACTTCCCTCCTGTACACAGGGTTAAATCCACTCTACGGGGTGTGGCGGAGAGTTTATTTGCTGGAATTTAATTATGCAGTAAAGTCAGCAAAGCGAGTGGACACTTGCTGCCTGCTATTCCCCAATCTTTCGTTATCGCTAAGTAATTCATAGACTTTCCTAATAAAGGTCAGGGAAATAAAATGTTACGTAGACTTAATGAAAAGTTCTATGTTTATTTTATAGGTGGCTTCAAGAGACGAAAGCTAAAATAAGCAGTGCCATCGCTGTGAAAGGAGATGACCTTTCGGGAGTCACTGGCACATATAAAATGTGAGCTCTTGAAAATGTTCTCTTACAAATTCCTCTCCAGGGAAAGTGGGGCATGTTGATTGCTCCAGCAGTACTTACTGCTAAGAGAAACTCCTAATTAAAGCCAATAGTATTATATCTTGCAAGTGCTACAGTGTCATTCTATAAATGTGGGTCGCATCTCGGATAGGGCACAAAAATAGTGTGGTGGCCCAGGAGGATCAAAGTTGTAAAGCTGGCACTTCCAACGTGCATTCTGTAGGCCTGCAAGGCTAATACTGCTCTTCAGAGCTGTGATCCTTTCTAGGGAAAATTACAGATGCAACTACACCCACCTTGACCCGCAGCTCTTTCCCCTTTATATTCACAGATAAGCTCTCCACCAACATTCAGAGTTGACAGTGCCAGCTCACGCAACGCTTACTGTCCGTGTCTGTCTCTGGAAAACCAGCCAATCCAAAGGCCTTTATTTCCCCGTAGAGATTAAAGGTTAATAAATTCAGTGGCCACTGGATGCATGAGGGAGCCCACGCAAGGTTTATGTGACCCACAGAAATGAAATTAACTGAGTTTAACACACTGTGACACACTTCTTGGCTCAGTCACCATGCCCCTCAAAGGAAACTCTCCATTTAAAACAGAAAAAAATTCTATTAAAAGTTATTCTATTTCCAAATACACCTAAATCAGATCAAAGTTTAAGGAGACAGAAATCCCATGTCTATAGTTTGATGTCTCATTCATGAAATCAAGACACATTTTCTTTTCTTCAATTTAGATGGGACACCTTGCTCTAAATTATTACTTGTGTATGCCCTGGTCCCGCGATTCAGGGAAGTTTTATGATGGAGATTTAATTTGACCCCTACATCAGAGAGCTGGGAAGAGAATGCATGAGAAAACCACGTGGAAAGGGGGGCCCTGGGCCACTGCAGATGACAGTAAGAGGCAGGAGGGCCCGGGTGGAGCTGGCTGTGTGCTTCCCAACCAGAAAGTCCATGGCTAACACCCTCTGGAGGACAGCGGCTCAGAGTGGAGCAAAGGAGACTTTTCTGGAACTTATTCTTTGGTGTGCAAGGGAGAAAGGCTGCCAGCAGAGGCTGTTCTAAGTCAGGTATGCGCCCGAGCAGGGCACGGCTGCTGCCCAAAGGGGCCAATGGGGGACACAGAACTCAGAGGACTGAGCTGTCAGCACTGATGCTCAGGCAAGGTCAGAGGGATGAAGCGTTTCTAGAAGATTCTGATCATCTCCACCAAGAAAACCCAGCGCCCACTTCCACCGAGGGCTCCCTACATCTTCAACCTTTATAATGAAACTGTCACCCGAGAGGCAGTGTTCCCAGAGGCCTTCCCTTCCTCGGGGTGAGTATATCCAAAACCTGAAACGAGTGACGCATGTGTGTGCACAGAAGATCGTGTGAATCTTAATCAAATGCTTAGATAAAAACTGAAGACAAGAATCATTGGAGGGAAACATGTTAAACAGTTGAAACTGTCATAATGGTGCTCCTCAGGAATTCTTAAAATATGCCAAAAACTGAGAAAAAGGTGGGCACGGTAGAATCCCAGCACTCGGGGAGGCTGGGCAAGAGGGTCACAAGTGTGAGCCCAACCTGGGCAAACTCTGAATTAGCAAGCCCCTGTCTTAGTGAAAACCGAACACGTTAGGGATGTCGCCCAGGGTGAAGATCCTTGCTTCAATCCCCAGCACTGAAAACGAAACCAAAATAAAAAACACGAAAAGTGAGGAAGGAGAGCGTATGGTACAGGAAGACGCTGTTATGCACCTTCTCCTCCTCCTCGCCACCCCTCGGCCGTCTCAAAGCCACGGCACACAGGCTCCTGGGACAGCAGGAGTGCACTTCCAGGGCTATGCCAGCTCCAGGGTCTCATAAAGAAAGGAAGAAACAGGGGAAGAAATAGCGGGATGCCCCACCGCTAGGAGAAGGACAGGTATTAAGGCATGTAAATATGTCCTCGGAGACCTCCACACCTGCGCAATGCAACAGAAAATGAGGACACTGCTAGGGACATGAATCTAACAGGATGAGAGGGCTTGGAAGTGTGTTTCAAAAATGCTTCAATTTCTTCCTCTTGGCATCATCAATTGCTTATGCATCTGGAGAGAGCCTGCTAAGTAACACTGTCTTCTAAGCTTGGGGTTAGGACGGAAGGCCAGCAGGCAGCAACCCCTGCCCTCTTGGGACCTCCCAGTGAGAGTGGGCCTGGAAGTCTCTGAGCACACAGGCACAGTGTCCACAGGAGCAGGAAGGAACAGCTCGGCCAGTGGGCAGGGAGCAGCTGAGAGGCTCCCACAGCTGACCCTGAGGTCTGCACACACCGAGAGCCGTGGCAGAGTCCAGCTTTCCCTGAGTGAGAACAAACTGCTGGAAAGTAAGGAGAACAAAACAACCAAATCGGAGGGTCAGGGTCCTTCCTTCTCCTGGGTTAGAGCAGAAATGGAGACGAGGCAGAGCTACAGTAGGCGCTATGGACTGTGGTGGGCGTGGAAATCCTCTGATCACTCCTTTTCTCTGAAAAGGAAGCAAAGACACCCCCCTCCCCCAGAGGAAGGAGGATGAGGGAGCCACGGGTCTGAAGAGAAAGGAGACCGGTGTCACCTGTAAAATCCCACTGCGCTGGGGACTGAGATGTCCAGGCAGCACCGAGGCACACCGGAGGTCGACTTCACGGATTTCCGGGGCTGTCTGCCTTTGTAAGCGTTTTCCTCTGCTGCTTTTAGTGTGGCACTGGTAACCCCTTGAGCTTAGCGAGGTTCAGCCCTATACCAAAGTGAGTATTCTGAAGACCTGTGTAGCAGAGTCTACCTGAGGCCAGGTGACTGTGAAGAGGGAACAGGTGAGAGCACAGGAGGGTTTCCAGTCTCAGATGAGGCGAAGGGGTGCCGTCGGGCTCCTGGGACGCAAGAGAGAGCTCAAATGCAGTAAAGTAGGTAGTAGATGGAGAATCCTCCAGGGAAGAATAAAGATGTTGCAGATTACACAGGAAGCATTCGAGAACACGACTTCTTCGGAGTAGGTGGCTCAGACACCAGGATGACAAGATCGGTGAGAAAAGGAGGTCACAAGTGGGAAGGCAGGGACGCCAGTGGTACCCAGGTGAGGTCCATGGGAGGCCTAGCCCTTTGCAAACTGCCACTGACACGCCACCAGTAGTGGCCACTGGCATGCCACCATGACAAAAAATGCAGACATTGAGAGGAAGCACTTAGAAAACTTTACAGCACTCTGACATTAAATATACATTTGTGGACTTTAATAAAAATTTTTGAACCTTTGCTTTTAATCTTTCAAAATTTATTTTAGTAAATAATATTGTGTTTTATTTTGCACAGTGTGAGTGTGTCATAAATAAACTGAGGAACACTGACCCGTGTGCTCGAAGGAAACAGTGATAACAAGCCAGACTTCTGGAACTGAGAGTGGGGTGCCCGGTCATGGGGGCAAGGAAGGGCAGGAGGTGGGCCACGTGAGATCCCAACACGGAAGTGCGTGAGAGGGAGAAGAGAGGATGTCTAACAGGGCCACACTCATGGGAACCCCGGCATGATGAGGTCAAGGAAGAGGAGCACAGCGACAGGCCTGAGCTCGGCGGAGGGCGTGAGCAGGAACACGAAGGAAATGCTCAGCGACTCTGCAGAACTCAGGGTCACTCCCAGGACTTCCTGCTGGGCTCCTCGTTTCCCAAGGCTCAGCCAGCAGGGCCATCAGGACCCAGAGAGCTGCTGGTCAGTGCGAAAATTATCAGCTAACCTTTTATAGATGCTATCAAGGGAGAGGAGTTCTGTGGTCAGGTTGATTTGCAGCACAAAGACAGTAAGGTAACCTAAGTGACAGTTTAAACAGGACGCCAGCCTAACTCAGAGCTATGGAGTACAGCTGTGGAAACTGAATCTATGTTTAGGAGTAGTGCAATTATATTAAACATTCAGTTACACATCACACGACATTTTCATTTCTAAATTCTATTTTGATAGCTTTTTCCCACCTTTTTCATTCTGAAAATCTGATTCTGTAACTGTAAAAGATCTTTACATTGGAGACAGCTGTGTCTCTACTCAATGAAAGTTACATTGAAAGTAGCTTAGGAAAATGTAGAATATTCATCCACTGCAGACAAGGGTCGTACAGTGAACGCGCAGGGAGTCTGTCTGGTTACCTGTAGTCTGTCCCATTGACTGGTGTCCACGTGTAGGTCCTGTTGCCTTTGTCAATGTATCTCTAGAAGAAAGTTCGACAGGGTTATTGTCACTTCGTGTGTGTGAATCTGCAGCAAGACAAGCACAGGACCGGCCACTTACTAGTGTGATAAACATTCAGCAGGGTGCCTTCCTCCTCAAGTGTCTCCGAGGTCGGATGTACTCTATTCTATACTCAGTTATTCTGATGGGGTGTGGTAGCAAAATTTAGGGCAGAATAAGTATGTAAATAGTGAAATGTAGGGACATACAAGCGTAAAATCTTTATCAACAGCATTCCAAAGTGATGGCACTGATTCCAAACTCTTCTCAAACCTGAGAGAACGTTTCTGAGAAGCAAACTTGAATAATGAAACAGGACTAGATCTTAGACAAGGCTCAGAGAATTCCACTTTCAAACAGGTGTAGGCATGGTGAAGAACGTTAGAAGGGAGGGAAAGGAGCCTGTGCCACACGACTGTCTCAGTTCTGTGGGACTAAAATATTAAAGCACCACAAGGGGCATCACCCAGTGTCACTGAATTAGGGAAAATTCCCGACCCCCTATGGGAAGCAAGCACAGGGTTCAATTGCATCGTGGACCCTGAAACCTCCAGCTGGACTACTGGGCCCTAGCAGGAGCACCCTGGAGCTCCGCCGCTTGGCAAGGCGAGGGCACCCCGAAACCGTGCACATCCCATTCCACCGCGGCAATGACACAAGCCGCCTAAGCTGGCGGGAGACGCCTGCCCTGTCCCTCACTGTGCTTTCTCTCATCCCGTCAAAGCCTTAGAGTAGACATGACTTCCCATCCCTTACTGATGAAAAAATAGGACTTAGGGAGGATGTTAGTGCACCCAGCTTCAAGAAAAATGCTTGGAGAGAAATTTTTATAGCAACTCCATAATGCTGCCTGTGGACCCATGAAACACTCTGTGACAGTGTGTGTGGGGTGGACAGAGAAAGGGTGAGCAGAATTATTTCTAGTAGTCACAGGAGCACATGGAAAATTAGCACCGTTCAACAAGTTATAAAAAAATACTAAAATCGTGTTGATTAGGCAAATTATGAAACTATTTTTCAATATTAGCAGCAGGAATGCTTGTGATAATGCTTTAATTTGTAATAAAACAACCATACAAAATTTTCAACATGGTTAATAACTAGTGTTTAGTTAAATCTATATTTAAACTTCTTACCACAAGCTTGGAGATATTCTCAAATTAGGTTTTTGAGGAAAGTTTTAGTTTATTCTTATTTTTAACAGGGTCTCACTATGGATTTCAGGCTGGCCTGAATTATGAGGCCCAGGATGGCTTTGAATTAGTGGTGATCCCTCTGCCTCAGGCTCCCAACTCTACAGCCATGAGCCAGGTAGAATTTTAAGTATATATACTTCCAAAATCTTCAGTAAATTCTCACATGAAACAGTAGAAATACATTCTTCTCTTATGCAAAAGCAGATAGTTGTAACCAAAAGGATTGCTGATGAGGTGCGTGCAATTAAAAATAACTATTTTCAGATTTGGACAAATAAGATTCACCTGGCATAAATTCAAGCAGAAATGCTTTAATTGCTTTAAAATTATTTTCAGTACTAATGCCATAAATATCAGTAAGAAAATGGGAGTTTGCAAGCATCATTTCTCATGTACTCCATGCATTTACTTTTTCGCTGAATAATTTGGTTCCTGAAAGATCTGGCTATATAAAAATGTTTGAAGTATTCTGCAGGTCAGATGTGAAGACAAGCTCTATGGGAAGCATTTCATGAGCCGGAAATCTAAAACTGCACACAACTCATTAAGCCTAACAATGTGAAATGTGCTAATTTTGGCATTTCCTATCTCACGGATACGGAAAGTACATGATTTCCAGAAACAAAAACTAACGAAATTCACAGACCATGTCTGACCTTGACGTATAGAACTCAAACACTGTATAAAACCGACTCCAACAGCACTGTAATATGAAGGGATTTCACCTCAAACACGCCTGCCAAACCCCTTACCTAGAAAGATAAACATGTATTTATGTGTAAGATACAATCTTAAAACTAAGTAATGCAGAAGTGCACTCTTGTAATTGTTTTGACTTTCACTAAATAATAAATAAAGACTGAAATGGATGTGTAGCTCTTCTTAAGTTCTGTGAATAGGCACAGTGGAGCCTCAGTTTACAAACCTAATTCTTTCCACGGTTCCTGTTGCAAACCAAACTGGAGGAGACCTGAATCCAGTTTCCCGGGAAGGTCAGCACGGAACCTAACACTGAATTTGCATTCTAATGATACCGAAATGAGAAAAGCCACCTGCTAGTGGAGGGTCATGTTTATGCCCAGCCTCCACTGAGGGAAAGATCTACTGGGGAATTCATGAGAGAAACATACACCAAAATAAGATGATACTTCAAGGGAAGGATATAAGTAACTATCTATAAAATCTTAAATTTCCAGGCACACAAGTTTCTGAATTCCGTATACTTTTAAACATTAGATATGTGAAGGTCTGTTTTCACTGTACCGTGGCTAATAATGGATAGATATTTCTCCAGGCAAAGAGGTTTTACAAATAAATGTGAAATCAATATACTATATAGATTAGTGATTAATGGTGGCAGCTGAGTTACTGGATGATTTAACTTCAGATTTAGATGCTAGAAAATTATAAAGTATGTAAATATTAAAAGAAGACAAGTCAAACAAGAACCAAACAAAAATAAGACAAAATAATACGTGGAACGCGACAATTAGAATAGGAATGAACACACTGTGGATTGCACACAGCTAATAAGCATTAACTACAGTTTTTATTACTGCCATTTTCTAAAGCATGGCATAAAATTATGTTGCATATTTAGTGTCTTCCAATAATAAAACAGACATAACCACTTTCAAGTATAGTTTTATAAAAATATATTGTTTATAAAATAATACATCAAGAAACTTAAAGCATTATTTTTATGAAAATGAGAAAGTTGGTGAAAATATTTTCTAGCTAAGAACTGTCTTAAAAACAAAGGGAAACTTATTCACCAGAGACATCTCTGTGTTGTAAGTAAATTCTGGATTAGCAGACAGCAAAGATGAATTCCCAGTATCACTTATTCTGAATAAATGCTTATACAGAAGAATAAACCAATTAATTCTTACCTCATCTTGAGATTTAACTAGCGTTCTGAAGGTTTTTTCTCCACTTTCTCCATCTATCATTTTATTCCGAATCTGAGAGCAAACAAAATAGATACTTTATCCTAGGATCCAAATTCACCACTAAAACGGGTATTATCAACGTGGGTCAGAGTTTTCCTTTACTTTAAACACATTAAGTAACAACAGAGGGTTGCTTTTAACATTAGTTGCAACTGTTTCCTGGAATTTTTTAAGCTGCTTCATTATAATTGTTTTATATTATGTCAAAAATATGAAAAGTGCCCTTAATAAACTTTTTCAGCCAGTCATCAGTTTTTGAAATATAATTAGCAAGGATCAGTCATTGAGTTATAGATTGGCTATATTTAAGTGAAAAGTAATAGAAATGTGTAAGAATTTACAGAATTAGGACACAGCATGGAATTCTTCAAATTTCTACCTCACCCAAATAACCAGTTTCATGGGAAGGGACGTTTTTAAGAGTCGCCTTTACACATTTTAGTTTTTATTTGTCCTACCTGGCAGTAAAAAATGGAGTATGTGAAAATTGTAATGAGCTTCTAGGACTTAATATAACACGGCTTAAATTTTCCAAACCCTTAGAAACAAGTCCAGTCACATTTCTCACAAATTATTCTAGCCGGCTGGAATTTCTCAGAATTTTCTTTAGTTTTTCTTGTATGTAACTCAATCAGTGACTTACATTTCGTTGTTAGTTACTGTGTTAGTAACCACAGATGCTGTGTAAACAAACTTAATGTGATACAAGAATCAATTTAAAATAGAAGAACACAGGCTTGCTCTAATTTAGTTAAAATACTCGGGCTGAGCACACAGCCCAAGTGCAGATAAGCACTTGGTAGGTGAGTTGACTGTCCACTTAGTAGAGGCCCAAAAATCAAAATAAGACGTGACCACCAAGCAGCTCTTCTGCTGCCCTGTTTCTGGGCATTTTTATTTACTTCTCTTTCTCTCCAAATTGAGGGGAAACTGGAGCTTTGAGAGGCTAAATGATCTCACTGCGCATCCTGCCAGCGGAGGTCCGTCTCCTCCCTATGACTTTACCCTCTTATTACAACACACACTTTCCGCAGATCTTCACGCACCTCCTAAAACAGCCCAGAACGGTGGCATGGTCTCAAGGTACTTGCAGTGAGTGATCAAATTCTATGGTTACACCGTGAGAAAATAAATGTGCAAAATGCATAAATCAAGTATGAGTTAAAATACACTGTGAAATCATTAAAGAAATATAGTAGCCTTTGCATAAATCAGAGATGTTCATCCATCCGGGAGGATTCTAAAAGCGTGTCCCCAACAGCAAGGAAGGTCAGTCTGCGCCTTCCTGAGTGAGGTGCAAACTAACTTCCAACCTGCCATCAGCCCAACACACATGGCACCAATAATGCCTGTTTCCAGAGGCTCTGAAAGCCACGCTGGAACAGACAAGACACTCAGCAAATGCTCTTTTATTATTAAACTGCTATCTTAATTATTATGGAAGGCTTTGACACACAAAGCGGGCACGTAACTTGTTTTGCAATACAACAGATATTTGCTGCATCCAGAGTCCCGAGAGGACAGGCAGCTTCTTTCCTCAGGCTGCTCATCCCTGGCTTGGTGGCTGGGACCCACTTTTAACTGTGTAACAAGATCCATCTCTTGTCATAATTCACAGGTAAATTTTGAGCTGACATAGTTAAGATAGCTTGGTGAGGGAGAAAGAAAAGAAACACGCTCAGTTTAATTAGTTCTTCCCTGCCAGGTGACCTTCGGGGGAACAGTGTCCAGGGCAGAGCCAATGTCACAGATGAGGAACACCTGTTTGTGCATGCAGAACTGAGAGACGATGAGGTGGCCACTGGACAGAGGTCACTTAGAGGACGCAAGAATCCAGTGCCCTGCCCCCACGGCTGGTGTCCTCGCCAGCACACTCACCTCCACTTTGATATCATTCTCCAGCTCGGCGTCCAGGAAGTCCAAAGTCACCGGCTCCTGAGATTTGGGGTTCTACACAGAAGACAGTAATAAGTACGTGCGCCATTATTAACCAGCGCTGTGCACGGTGTGATCTAACCAGGATTTAAATACGAAATCAACTCTGTGAAAATTAGCCAAGATATGTTAACTGTATACCTATATATCTCATTTATATATGAAAGTAGGAAGTTGGAGCTAAAAATTGAGCTTTAAGTGTAGTAAATATTAATTACCAATTGAAAAAGTCCCATTTTGAACGCTGATTTAGACCCTGCATTTACAGTCACAAGTCTGTGGGAACGCGACTGTTGAAGAGCCACTTAAAACTTTCACCAGCAGGACAAAAGCGCTAAAGAAAGCAACATGGTAACAAAACAAGCACAACATACAAGCATGTACGCTGTGATTTCAATAAGGAAATTATTTAAGGAAAATACGTAGTATTAGGTTGGATATTTTACAAAAGTAAAACGCACTGCTTTGGTCTCTACGCTTCCGTCTGGAAACGTAAAAGGCAGAGAGAGGAAGTCTGTTTCACACATTGACTCTCAGAAATGTTACATTTTAATGATTCAAATTAATTCAGAATTCTAGAGTGTGCACAATGAAATGTGTGACCAAGTCAAGGACTGCAACAGAAACCAGGCACTGCGGTGAAAGTGTACTGAGAAAAATAAGCCTGGGGTCACTAAACAGGGGCGCCTGTGAGACACCCCAGGCTCTTCTGGTTTGAATGGAGTACGAAGCTCGCTGTGGAACAAGACTCAGTATTTACGGTTTATCAGGTGATAGCATTGACCGAGAAAATTCATCCCAAGTGGCAGATTTCATTTCTTAATTACAAAATGAAGATGCACTGAACTGTGTGATAAGTGAATAAAATACAATCACTGTTTTAACACTTGGTAATGTTATATAATGCTAGAATTTCACAGTTAACTACAATAAAAATCACATTAAATACTTCATTCTTCAACTGTAAGTTGGAAACTAGATATTAAAAAGTTATTGAAATAAGTATTATCCAAATCTGATCATTAATTACATAGCAGTAATCAATGCAGAATTACGGTGGATGAGTGGATGGTTCTTTGGAATTTTACTAATAATAGCCTCCTGAAATGTCCAGATCATCAATATTTCTGACATCGTTTGAGGAGACTAAACTTTCCAAGGTAGCAGCAGCGGTTGAAACACACTGAAACTCAGCATTTCCTATTTGTAAACTGTATGTTTCAGGATACGTGGCACGTATTTGTTTTATAATTATGGCCCTTCTTTCAAGTAATATCTCCATTTAGGAACACAAACTTAAACCTTATGGTTTTGATGAATCTTAAAGCCAGTTAAAAGTAACCACACTTGTCTATTGTAACTAAAAACTGTCACTTGTCTGTCTGAGTTAAAAATAGCCTATTACTATAATCAGAAGAATCTATAATACTGAAAGTAAGCATTAGATGTTTCTCAAAGGGAAAAACCCGACCACTTGAAGGAAAAGTCATTTAGGTAGAAATGCCCATTTGAAATAGAGCATGGTTCCTGAGAAAACACAAGCCATTGCTGAAAACCCTACAAATCCTTTATTTATAAAATAAAACCCAGAAAGTCATTAATGACAGTTTACTGTTTCAGAAATGCTTATTTAAAATCTCATAAAATAAACCACTTCACACAAACGATCTAACACCAGCATAAAAAATGTAGTGATTAGTGCAAGACAACATCAAAATAACCCAAATGATAAAGTAAAAGCCAGAATGAGGATATGGAGCCGCATGCAATGGGCAGTGCACAGCATGACCAGAGGCAAAGGGCGTGCAGGGGAGGGGCGTGACCGGGAGGGAGGGCAGCACGGGCCACGTCCCCATCAGCACACGAAGACACAGAGAGCAAAGGGAATCAGGACGGAAGATCTCAGGCGCAAAGTGCATCTCAGTGGGATCAGCTGACCACTCTCATAGACAGAGGCACCGGAAATTTAAAGCTGGCTTACAATCAACAGAAACACTCCTGCGCCTAGTTCCTCTGGGCTCCTCATGCTTTGTGACTTCCTGTTGAATTTTTTTCACTGCTTTTCATTTTTTAGTAATATGTGACCACAGTGTATAATGGCTACCTTCCGCCCGGGAGCTGGTCCCTGTACACAACAGGGATCGATTGTTTAGCCCTGTTCTCGCTCCTTTTCCCTCCATTCGGGGTCCTCTTCCTTTTGCAAAAGATCTATCTCTTTATTTCCTGTTATTTGGTCTCTGTTTATAGTTTGGGCTTCTTATATTAGAGAAAGGATGCAATAGTTAAGCTTGTGTGTCTAATTCATCTCACTTGTTCTTAGCATGGTACTACTTCTGTGTTAGCTGTCAACAACATTTTGTTTTTTCAGGAAATGTTCAGAGTGTGCACCCCTTGCCCACAGATTATTCAAGCCTATCCTTCTTTATGGCAGAGTAGTACTCCATTTGGACACAAAGTGCACCATGTGTTTGTTATTCAAGGTTAAGCACCTAACATTCCTAGTTACGAAGTTTGGATCTCAACTGATATAATAATGTGATCATGTGTTCAAATAAAAGGGAAAACACAATGATAAATTTTAGAATTCAGATAATTAAATCAGTGACATTCTAATACTTAACACTTCAAAAATATCCCCTAAACGGAGAGGTCTTATGTGGTTGCTAGTTTTCCATTTGGGATTTCCTTAGCATGAAAACAAAAACAAAGTAAGGCATTATTTGTTCTATATTTTTTAATTATATCATAATTTTTAGATGCAATATTTGAGGTTTCTACAAAAAAAACCAAAAAACCCCACTAAAAAGTATAACTGAAGGTAAACATCAAAGCAGCATGCATGGAAAGCAACGGAAGTTTAATACCTTCAGAAGGGCACGTGTATGATTTTAATCTCTACAGAAGTCATAAAAGACCCAGAGGAGATTCTCACTGCCAAAGAAGCTCTAAGCCGGAAGGGCACCAGCGTGTCCTCTAGTTTGGGCCCCTGCTATTTTAAGAAAACCTCTGAAGCTCTAACTGATTCGGAAGCTAAATTAAATCAGAATTCGCAGGAGACAGGACTGAGACTCACACGCAAATTTATGGACTGCAGGAAGAGAACAGGGCGCTCCCTTCTGCTTCCCAGATGAAGACACCAGCGTGGGAGGCACCCAGAGGGCTCTGGGACCGGCCCGGCGCGAGGGTCCCCAGCCGGCTTCCAGCAGAAGCGGACCAGAGTCCAGTTCAGCCAGTGAGGCCTTGCCATGGCTGCTTAGCACAGTGCTACTCCTGTGTTAGTTACCAACAATGTTTTGTTTTTCCAGGAAATGGTAGGAAATCTTAAATAATGTCCGACTTCCTCTGGAATTCTGAAATTATTTACGAAGCTGTAGAAAATAAATCCACATCCCTAGAGTAACTTTTACATTTTGTTGTCAAAGGAGAAAAAGGCTTTGCAATCAGTTTGTCAGGCAGTAAAAAGTCTTGGTATTTCTTATCTGAACAATTTTAATTTACAGTACAGACATTTCTCTAACTGTTAAACTCCAATTACACTTGTGGAAATTCAAGAATATTTTAGTTTAAAATCTCTGATTTACGGAACTTACCACACTGAAATTGTAGTTTTATTTGCACGTAAAGGCAACGTTACCAGCAAATTGTTAGGATCACATGGATTGGCATGAATCTCGTAATCATTAATAACAGATTTCTTTTTTAGAAGCCGTCTCATGATGATTAGTCTGATTGTTAAGATTATTACACTATTTATTTAGCAGTCTTAGTGAGCTAACGCACCCCACTCCATTAGCACATTTTTGCTTCAGTTTATTGGAAGCTGATGCTAATTTCCTTCTCATGCTCTAGAAGCCCAAAGTCAGGAGAGGCAGTTTCAACTGGAAGCTTTAAGAGCAAAGCTTGATCTCAATTCTGTTTTAGCAATTTGAAAGCACTGCCGCATCCACCCCATTCAGTTACCTGCACATTGGGTCTTCTTTGTCTTAAATTAACTGTTGGGATACCCACACCAATAGGCTGAAGTGACAGAGAAATGGCAGTCATCACACCACTAATCCACGGGGCGGGCTTCGGGCTCAGATGTCTGCTCCGTCACAAACAGATCTAACTGATGCACTCGGAGTTCAAAATACGTGACGCAACATAAAAGCTTGTGATGAACTAATTTGTTAAAAATGAAAGTCTAAAACTATTTTAGAGAATAAAAATGCTAAGTCAGTACAAATCACTTTGAAGAGACACAATTGTTATTATTTGTGTATTTTATTCTGGAAATGTATTTGTGGAAGTAGGAAAGATACACTGACTATAAAATTTCCTCCATATTGAGAGAGAGACAGACAGACAGACAGGCAGACTAAAATGCACACTATCAATGTCCCCCTCAATGTCCTGGGTGCACCTCAAACCCCAGCTGTGCTGGTGGTACCTGGACGAAGTGACCCTGATGAAGCCCAGGTCTCACCGAGGGGATTGCTGCCCCAGGGAGCAAGCGGGAAGGCTGGGGATGGGGTCGGTGGGCAGGGCTTGCCTACCATACACAAGGCCTGAGTTCGAGTCCCGCTGCCACATAACAAAACCAAAGAAACAAAAAAGCTGGAGCTCAGCCCCTGCACCTTGTCCACCCTCACGGCAGAGCGAGGAGCCGCTGATCGTGCCCTGCAGGTTCCCCGCCTTAGGACTGGGACCAGGACCTTTCTGTTGTCTACAAACCAGTTCTCCATCCTTACTGCTGTGTGTTTGTTGTTTTGTCCTAGCAGCCTACATACATTCAACAATTATTATATATTAAAAAGCCTTACACATCTAAACAAGGTCCTTAGTATCCTGCAGAGGCATCGAATGTATCGATGGAATTAATGGCAAATTCTACCATATTTCTGTAGACTCATTTTAGTGTTTCCTTCTAAAACACAGGTTATTCATAATTCCCTTTTCAATAAATATAAATATCAGAATTGGCCAAAATGAAATACCTAGTAGATAGATCTGGTTATTTTTAAGGAAAAAGGGAAGACTATAAAATGCATTTTGAGATAAGCCGTGATACATAATGCTACAGTATCCAAAATGTGGCCCTGCAGGTAATAGTAACACTGATGAAATAATGATGCCTTAGAAAGTTAGCTGTGTAAAAAGCATTTATCATTTACTGATATCCTGGACTTTTTAAAGGGCACTTGGGCTACCTTTTACAAAACACAACACGACAATGAAATATTTTGAAATAGGATTATATTATCTGGAAGAAATATGTAAGATATTTAGCGAGGAACACACACTTGCAAAGCATTATATTTTCACCTTGTCAGATAATAACGGGCACAATGTATGTGGCTTTATTTTCCTTCATTTGTATCCATGAATTACTGATGAAAGAGGTGTTTTGTTATGTAGCATCGGCTACTATATTGACTCTCTCTGAATTTCTCCATCACCTGTATCACCGTTTGGTGAGACTCTTGCATAAACGTGCACTTTCACCATAAAATAGAAATGGCCGTGTTTATCACATTAACGATGAAAATTCAAAACACATTCAGAAAAAAAAATAGCATGCTGATTACTCAGACTTGTTTTCTTTGGGTAATTTTCAGACAGTGTTTTTTGAAATTTTTTTTGTTGCATCCTTCTTTTAATAAAATCCACACTAAAATGAGAAAAGTTAATGTAACCTAGCCTTTCATAAATCTTTCTATAAAATTTATATTTTCTTTGTGATCTTATGAATTTAGTGAAATGATTACTCCAAATGAGTGAAATATGTATTAACATCATTCAAACAGCAATAAAATATTTTCTATATAAATATTTGTCATTAGGAGGTAAAGGGGGAAAACCTTTTTTAGATTATTACCTTTTTTATCATGAAGATAGTCTAAACTGTTATTACCACTGGATGATGGCTTTATATGTCTCCACTGTACATGTATTTCTCTCATTACTAATTTCTGTCTGTGATATATTTTAGTGACTGTAGGGGGAGGTTAAGGACTACAATCAGAAAAATAGGGATTTTTTGTATGTTTCAACAAATGACATTTTTATTGCTTTTAGATTAAACATAATTTAAAATACTGTTAATGAATAAAGGCCAAAAATAATGCAAAACTTTAAGCCTTCTTAGTTAAAAATATAAATGTTTTCAACTATAGGATGAAGTCTAGAGTGATTAGCTGGCCATAAGCAACTGCTGTATAGTAGGACTTTAATGTGACCTGCTTTTCAGACGCCTGACAGGACAGCACGAGATCAGCGAGGGTGCATTTCTATGACAGCAGTGTACTCAACAATGATGAAGGGTGACAAGCAGCTACATCATGAGGCAAATGGATGGTAACCGATGGTAAGTCAAAGGTAGGAAGAATTAAAATAGGGACGTGAATTATAACACATAATCTTATGTAGCATATATTAAATGATTAGCTGCATTTGACATGGTCTTATACGTAGTATCAATGGCTCTTAACTCTTGAATAATACTTAAATGACACAGGCTCACGAGTGTGTGTGTGTGTGTGTGTGTGTGTGTGTGTGTGCACGCACACTCCTGTGCCTTCTAAAGCATGACTAACACTGAGTACTCATCACTGAGAGGAGGGCCAGGCAGAGGGAAGTCTGCATGGTGTAAAGTGCCTTCAAAGTTCAAGGAGAACACAGACATGTTCATAAAAATGCAATTGTATAAGATTTTGTCTAATTTCACAGCCAGCTAAATAAGTTTTGCCAGTAATGCCTCGTCCAGAACTAATGAAAAGCTGGCTGAGGTACTTCAGGGAAACATTTTGTGTCTTTGGAAAATGGGCATAAAGATGAGGATAAATGGGTTGATCTGTGGAATTTTAGGATTTCCAGATTAACCCGTGGAGTAAAAACACTGTCCAAATCTGAAGCTCCCTGCACAGATTTTGCTTCCTGAAATGGGCTCTTGTCTTTGCAAGCCTGCCCAGAGGGGACAGAGGACCCAGCAGAGGGAAAGCTGAGGTGACTGCGGGAAGAGAAGACACGATGAGGGACACGGTGACCATGGCAGCCAAGGTCACACGGCTAGGATCGAATCAGCAAGCGGGATTTATGAAAACGAAGCCCAGGGGGTGATGGTGGCAATCTTTGCACAAAGAATATCAGCTCAGCTAATTGGTAAGAAAAAATAGAACCCTTTAACCCACTGTAATATATTATCAACTGTGGGGCCATCAAGGAAACGAGCCACACTGCGGGTCATTGTTTGGTATTTAAGGCTTTAAAGTGATATTACAATGACAACCTAATAAGAGCCTTAACCTCTAATTTTACAAAATACAATTCACTGTGAACACTTTAGACACCTACCTTGGGCTGAAGATTCGGATGCAGCAAAACATAACCATTAGGGTCAATTGCAAAATAATAGCCATTGGGGCACAGCTGGAAAGAAATCAAAAAGCATTTATAAACATCCTAAGCCACCATCAGAAATGTGTTATTTCTTTACAAAAATCTTTCATTAAATTATTTACTAACAATGTTATTTTGAGGATTTTTTTAAGCATTTAGTTTTTCATTGGGTTTATAGCACATAATTTCTCAGAATTACTTAAATACCCCATAGACAAGTAAACTAGTCCACAGATCAGAACCAGGAAAGGACATCAAAAGTGTAATTGCATCTTACTGTAAAGCGTGGTGTCAGCCTCTTAATGTCTTCCAAGGAAACGTCCACACCCATCACACCCAGGATCAGCTGGTTCTGTGGGAAGACAGCAAGAAGTTAGTACATTTAATATCAAGTGTACCTATTTCTGCAGGCATGGTATATGTTTATCACTTCTCTACATTTACGTGAAACTGAGGGGCCTCTGTTGTCAAATTTAAAAGGATTATCCATTTTGTTTTCCGTAATTTTATCATCCTTATTAACTTACGTGAAATCTTGATGACTGAATTTAAAATGCAGAGATGTACAAAGTTCGAACTCAACCTGGGCAACCCAAGTACTTAATGAAGCCATATCTCAGGATAAAAATTTTGAAGATGTATGAGAAGGATTTAGACACTACCCTCTCTGAGCTCCAGTATTTGGAACTAAGAGATGTTTAAGAACATAATGATCCCCAAAGAGAAATGACTAGTGTTTAATATAGCTATATTATTAAAACAAGGAATTCGATTGAGATTTATAACTGAATGGACAGTCCTTAAGCACAGAGGGCTTCATTAGGCCATAAACTTCCCCCAAGTCAGGAATATCACCCACATTATAAAGTGGTTAGTATTAAAAAATACAAGTTCTGCAGTTTATCATTTGGAATCAAGCCAGGAAATATCAGTATAATCCTGAGTTTAAATCAAAAGTACTTAACAAATAAGAAAACAAATACAAGGTAGTTTGTAATAATTACACAGCACGGGCAGAGGTAGCATGCTATTGCATTGACAGTCTTATCAGTGCTGTAGAAATTGAGTGTTTCCATGAAATTCATGAAGTATTCTTCCTATAGCTTGAGAAAATGGGAAAAAACTCACTCATCTGATCTGTAAGTTACAAGATAACTAAAAAATCTACTCTCTGGGAGTCAGAAGGGTAAGGGCTGCTACGTGTATCTCTGCACATCTGCTGCACACATCGCTGTGTTTTTCGGAACCGCACGAGCATCTTAAGTAGATTTCAAGAGTGTGCATACAATCATCGTCCGTTTGTCATGTCCTAACTCACGAGCCTGCTTCGCATCCTCACGGGACACAGTCCCACAGGGCACTCTGACTGCGGCCCGGAGGAGGCGGGGATGGGACCCGCGTCCTCTTTCCCAGGTGGCTTTCCATGGGCAGCAGGGCCATTGGCCTCACTACAGTGGCCCTGGGCGGATCTCCTTAGAGAAACATCTGAGCCGCGCTGAGCTGCAGTGTCCGGTTATCATTTATTATTATTAATTTTATCAATGAACTTTTAACCTTCAAATTGGTCTCATTTTCAGACTGGCCAGTTCTGTTGAAGACCGGAAGAGTTCCAGTAATGACAAGCCCCAGTTCCTAAAATAGACAGGGAGAAAAGACAGATGAGCTTCCCTCGAAGTTTTCTCCTTCTGCATTAGCCTGGTAACTCAGACTTCAACTCAGAATTACTGCATAAAAAGCAAGCAGAATAGTAATAACTTTTAAAATCTGTTAGTTTACTTTTTAAGGGTCTTAGGAATAATAAAACTCATTATGCAATTATTTAAGAAGGTAATGCCTAAAATAATATTCTAAATGAGCACTGTAAATAACTTAAACAAAAAAAATCATCTTACACAAATGACGCACAGCCTCTAGGTGCTTTAGTTATCAGTTATCTTACCCATACCTAGTCTTTTCTCTCTCTCTTTTTTTTTTTTTTTGTCTTTTTCATTGGTACCAGGGATCGAACTCACAACCACCTGCTTGTAAGGCAGGTGCTTATGCTGCTGAGCTAAATCCCCAGCCCTAGTCTTTTCTCTTAATGACCCCGTTCATCTATGATCAGGGTCCCCCACACTCACAGTGGTATTAAAATATTATCTTAAATGATTTTAGTTCCTTTTGTGTGGCTTCATTCTTAAATTTTCCATCCTACACCAAAAGTTTCATACTATATCACGAATGAATTGAGTAACACACATAGAAACATACTATTGATACTGTATTTCTAGACTATTCTAGATAAACACTCTCATTTAAATGAAGAAATATTACTTCTAAATATTTTCGCAAAGGAAATAAAAGTTTTTGACCAAACAAAATAATACACAAAGACCTGAAATCATTACATAAGAAATCCTAGCTCTGAGCAATTTTAGCATAACAAAAGTCATGCCACTCTTAGTCACCGTGTGGATAATTTCATGTATTAAATGAATCCATTGAGATTAGTATTAGCAGCTATTTTTTCTTATTGACATCTGTGGTCATTGTGTGTGCCTGTGTGGGTGTGTGCGCGCATAACACTCATTACTATTTCATAGTATGCATTTGCAACAAAATCACTTCTTAAGAAAATAGTGAATTTGCCACACTGGCAAAATTTTAGTAATCTTCTGGAAAAAAAAAATCTCAAATCAAAACGTCACCAACTCTGTTTCGATTCTAAAAACAGCACGATCTTACGAAGGAAATGTCCCCAAAAGGCTGTGGTGTGTAATTGTGCCCACTGAACCCCCAAAACAGTGGAAACCAATTTAGAGAGTAGAGATGATCATAAAAAGGATTCTACAAGCACAAGACAAAATTATTTGGGACAAAGAAAGTGGAGAAACAACTACAAGTTATCAGGCAGGTGCATGATGATACACATTAACTTCCCATTTAGTTTTAAGAGGAGGTCAACAAAAATATTCTTAATTACACAAGTTAAAATTTTCAACAAAAACCTGCCACCTCAATAATGTGAGGATATAGATTAATCCTAATTACCCAAAAGAGAAGCAAGTGAAGATTACTTCAGGGAGCTTTATCTGAGTTATAATTTATTTGTGCAGTTTTAAAAATGTAACCATGATATAAGAGAAGGTATATATGGACATAATATTTGTCTTTCCATGACTTTTGCATCTGTAAAACATACCCAAACAGGCTTCTAAAGGTCATATGTACCCTAAAATGAGATTCTAGGTGCTGACATTAGACTCCAGACAATGTGGAACTACCCTTCCACTCATCAAGTGGACCAAAAATGGAACCCTGTCTCCGGACATGGAACAACTTCAGAGAATCGAAACAGAAATAAGTTCACTGTCCCTGGGATTTCGTTTTTGTGTTTTAGAGTCCACTCTTAAAAGTCTTCTATATATTTTATTCACTTTTTCCACACACATCGATAGTCTCCACAGTGCTGGCCTAGTCTCATTTCAGATGGTCTGTCGTATTACCTCAAAGGTGACCCCTGTAGGACCCCTTCTGCATCTCCAAATTTTAGTCAGTATCACAGCAAACTGACTTGTACTCATATCTACAGTTAAAATGTTACAATTTTAAAAGCATACCTCTTCCTCTCTCATTCCAAATGTATAACTTCTTTGTTCTGACAAGCCAGAGCTCACTGAATATTTCATGTTATATTTATTATGTCTTATCTTGCGATATACCTTTTTTTAGGTAAACTTTGACAACAAGTATTTTGATTTTTCTGCATGCAGTGTGCATTTATTTATAAAAATAACTTAAGCCAGGTATGCTGGAGCACATCTGTAATCCTAGCACTGGGGAGGCTGAGGCTGGAGGATCACTGTGAGTTCAAGGCCAGCCTGAACTACAAAGTTTGAACTCCATAGTGAAACCCTGTCTTTAAAAGACACACATCAACCAATCAATCAATCTTAAATACATGATGATTCACATCATTCTTAAGTCAATAAAAGACACTATTTCGCCTACGAATAGCTGACTTGAGTGCCCTTTACATTATATTTTAATTCTAGCTTGCAAAGTGGACATTTCCTAATGTCATTTGTGCTATCAGTAAGGACCGTGCCAGCACTGCAGATACTCTGGTCAGTGAACTCCTGGTCATAGGAAACAGGCCCGGGTTCCTGCCTCCTGATACGCGCTGTCCTGTGAGGGCTTTGGGAGAGTGAACATCTTGGCCATACATGCAGATGACCAGGTGACCTTAAGTAAACCAGTGACGTCAAGAAGGAACACGAGGAGCCATTCTCACTAGTGCGGGAGGTGAGCGAGCTTCCCTCTCTCTGACACAGCACGCGTGGCTGCTGGTAACACTGCCTATTTTCTTCTAACTTCCTGTGTGTGTTTATTTTCTAAGAAGCAAACGATAAGTAATTCTAAACGGATTGCATGCTGCCCTTTGGGTTCATCACTACATTTAGAATGAAGCCATGAATACACCACTGCATGCCAACTAGGGGAAAGGGTACTACTGAATCAGCATTGACTTTGCAGGGCTTAGTGTTTTGGCTCTCTCTAGTATGTTATTTCATTAAGAAACCCTTCAAATTAGCTGATGGAATTATGTATTGCTTTCACGTTGAGAAAACAAAATCATATCAAAGCAAGATTTCTCAACTTTGGGCTACTTAAGACCTTGACTGGATCACATCTTGTGTTGGCTAAGGAAAGGGGTGCTCCTGGCATTGCAGGATATTAAGGGGCACCCCTGATCCTCACCCATTAGATGCCAGCTACAAATCCTTTTCAGAAATGTCTACAGATGTTTCCAGGAAGTCCCGCAGCAGACAGCAGCTGCTGCAAAGTATGACGGTCTTTGTGCTGAAATGTCAACTGTTCGATGGCCAGTTTAACACGTATCTCTTAATGAACACAGGACTAATCAACTCATATCTCCATAAAGATGTCCGGGTGTGAATCAAAAGCAGGGACTGTATATAGAGAGGTGATCAGGTTTTACTGATTTCAGGGCAGGGTGAGAGGCTGCTGGTCTAACTGAATAGACCTGTGTGTTTCAGTGAGTCCCTTAGGGCTGTACAGGGCACACATGTTCTCTACCGGCTGACATCTACTTGAAAAATACTTTCTTTAAAATTCCTGTTCGAAGTCTGAAGAAACAGGTTGTCTTCCACATGACTATTGACTTTATTCTTTTATGTTAAAAATTAAAAATGTTATTGAAATGCTATAAATTCATGATTCTATTTAAAGTTCTACATTCTCGATAGATAGCATGTGTGGTTCTGTTTTACACAAACCTAGGATTTTATTCACATTCTCTAAATTCTTGCAAAGATGACTGTGATTCAAGAACTCTAGGAAACGTTCCATGAGGATTAAAGGAGAAATTCGTCTAGGGAAAGTCACTGTGGAATTTCTGGGGCAAGGTTCCAAACTCTTACCAAGGCATCCAAGTACACGTTTGTCCACTGGACCTTTCTAGCTTTTTCTCCTGCTAAAACCATGGGTCTTCCCAGGACGTCCAGATATTCCTGTGTGCACAGGAAGAAACAGTTGTTCTTTGAAACCAGGGAGGCTCGGTGTTTTAAAAAAAATATCCAAAGGAAAAAAGTTAACGCAGAGGTAACTGTGAATGTAGAATCCAACTGCTGAGAGAGTGAATGTATAACCACAAGACTCCCACTGTGGCTCTCCCTAAGTGGTGTCCTACCTACTCTGAAGCACCCCGTATGGCGCACTTTATAACAAACATATTTACTCCAGCTCTGGCCTCGCAAAGGCAGACTGCTGTTTTGGCAAGGTGGGCCAGTGCTAACTGAAGTGTGCTCCTGCTGACTATTTCCATGTTGATCCAAACTTTGAAGGATCTGGGATTTACTGTGCGAAACTGAACAAATTCAAAACAATAAAGCAGCCTCACACTTTCACATCACAGATTGCTTGGCTGAAACTGCAAACTGCATTTAAATTACAAATTTAAAATAATTCTATATCAAAAATAAATGAGACAGTGCGCTATGTCTCGACATCGGACCCAAATGGAGTCCTGTTCCATCTCGGCATTCAATGCTCTCAGCATTGGTTCCCCCACGGCCAGGCTGGCGACCTAGAGTAGCTTCCTCTAGCTTGAAGACTTTCAGCTATGTTCGAAATTGGGCAGTAATTCTAAATAGTAATTTATTAATATTTTTAAAGTAGTACATAGTTAAACTGAATTACTGAATTCTGCTAAATTAACTTAATAGACACACTATCTGCCGAATGTCAGAGAAATCGCCCCCTTGGAACTCCAGGTGAACCAGGTAAACAGAGCTGCCGTGGTTACTCCGAGCCTCTCACTCTAAGTAGGGGCTTGTAAATTTTTCCAGGATAATGACTGCTTAGCATTCAAATGGTTAAGAACTCATTTCTATGATTTGTAACACAATCAAGTTCAAATTGCTGAGCCTGTTAGAAAGTCTGATTTTACCCATTTCTCATGCTGCTTTTAAATCTGAGAAAAGCAGGATTCTGATACTCTAACTCATACTGATTTTTTACCTTGAATTTTGGATAGTTGGAATTAGTGGGAATCTTAATCAAAAACACCAATATATTGCTATGATACGTATTATTTTAGTACATGGAATATTACGGAGCTTTCTTTTCATTTTCAGCTGTCTTCAGCATATTGAATACATTCAAATTAGAAAAGAATCTTTTTTGAATTTTGAACAAATAATTTAAATAACACTTAAGTAATCATACCTGAGTATTAATTCTTATGGCTCCAATGGAAGGAATTTCATAATAATAACCTGAAATACACATACATTATAAATGTAAATATTATATCTTAATAAGCAGCCACAAAAATCTTTTTATTCTTTGTAGGGAAAAAGGATTTTCTTTTCACTCCTAAACTGAACAAAACAAAAATATAAAGACAAATTAATTCAGAAAATGTTTGACTAAGAAAATTACCAATAACTGCACAAGCTTTTTGAAAAATGATACTATTTTCTTAGCACAAAATATCCTTTAGTAAAAGTAAGAAAACTAGCATCACTGAAATATTTTTTCACTGAATGAATTATTAAAGATGGAGAAAGTGATACAATTATATGTTTATAAAATATCTGTCTAAACAAAACTTTCAGAGTATATTCAGGTTTCTCTTGTTGCTATGGTTTCATACTTTATTTTTCAAACACTATAATTTTTCTAAGTACAAAGGAAATATGGGCTCCCTGAGTGAAATTTAAATTATCTACAATTGTATGAGACATTTTCAGCCACTCAGACAAAACAAATAAACACATCACATAGTCCATATAAATGACACAAAATTCAGGTATTCTTTACTCCTAATTCTCCACATAAAATTGTATCTGTTACGCATTACTGAGTATCATTCAATGTAATGTATCTTTTTTATGAGTTTATGATATTATGATCAGATGTCTGAAATGTTTTTAAATGTAATACAAATGTCAAAATCTGTGATGTGTTTTCTCTATGGAGAGCATGTTGAGAACTGTATTTCTGCTTCAATTCTGATAAAAGCTATTCACAACTGTAGGTTATGTACAATGATAACACAGACCCACCAACAATGGCCAGGATATTTCTTCTAATAAAAAACAGCCAGAAAAGCACGTTACCTTTATTTTCACAAGCCATCCACTGGATGGGTCCTCGGTCATAATTGTGTTGACCAACGGAAAAGGTGAACACACGGACCTGGGTGAAGGGGAAACACAGGAATGAACCCAGCAAGGCAAAACAGCAAAAAACAAAACAAATACAGAAAAGCAAATTTTCAGGGTCATTTACTATGAGAAGAAAATCCGAGTTCAGTAAAGAGTTCAGTGAGGCACCAAGGGACCCCTCACAGCCTGCCAGAAGCAGACACCAAACTTACAGGAGCACTTGGGGGTCCTGCACTGAGCTGGCTCAGCAGTCCCACCTCCCTCCCAGGACTCAGCCTGTCGCCCTCACAGGCAGCCTCCGCAGATGATCCTCCCTAGTCATGGGGAACTGTGACGGAAGCATATACAGAAAGGCCACGCGAGTTGCTTAGGGCATTTTAGGAAGGGTTTGGCTTCTTTCACACCACAGAAATACTTAAGATGCACCTGTGTGATGGTGATGTTAGTGTCACTTTCTAGAAAAGCTGCTGGCATAGATATGTATTTTAAACGCCCAGCCCCTTCCTCGGGGATGTGGACTGACCCTCTGAACTGACATTTCTAAAGGTTTCATTGATTTTAGCTTTTGCACATTAGAACACGGCGCATATCTAAGAAGAGATTCCCATCTGCTTCTCTTTGGTTGCTCACAACCACACACATCACGACAGCCCTGACCTCCGCGAGGAGCACGGGAAGTCGCTGTTTTGAGCCTCTGGGTTCCATGGAGCTGCTCATGCAGGAGCCCATCTCGTAGCAGACAAGCCTGAGTCTGAGTCACTTCAAACTTGTTCAGGACAAATGACCAGGTCTAGGTTGGCGGCAGACGGTGGCTCTTGAGGGTAGGAGCTCTCGCCTTCCTGTGTTTGTCTCCTTTTTCTCTTTCTTTCTACTGTCTCTAGGAATTCTCCCTCAAAACGCAACACTTTCCTTTTCTTGACTGGGGCAGGGCTGCCTATGTGTTTCTAAGTCGTGTTGCTACTCACCTGTTGAGCTCATTCCTATGGGAAACACTGTTGTAAGCAGGCAGACCCCTCTAACTTGTTGGGGCACAATGATAATGTAAGAATGCATTTATAAGGTACCAAACTGATAGGTATTTCACCATGTGCTAGAGGTCTGTGACCAAGTTTCTGTTCTGCTGTTTCTGCTAAATTCAACTAACCTTGACGGTGTCTACAGCCAGCTGCACACCTCTGCTGAGCACTCAGTCAGAGTAACTGTCTGTACCTTAAGGCACTCTGAGCTAATTCAAGGGCCCCTCCCCAGAATGTGCCCATATGAAGCTAACGCCTTTAGTTGTGCTCACTCTGTAGGGCCCCTCCCCTGTTCCCTGAGTGTTTCCATATTATGATAAATAATTCATTTGTTTCAAGATGAGCCTGCCTATCACATGTGACTCAATGTATGTAACCAATTATGCAATATTTTGTCATCACTTGCTTTGTACCTCCCACTTCTAAATTCTATATAAACTAAACTTTTTCTGCATTCAGTGCTGTGGCCTTTGAGGAATTATCCCATAACAGTCCGCTGGTGTAAAGAGTAAACGCTGTCTTCCAATCTCCTCAGGGCGAAGAGTCTTCCTTTCTGTTTGGTTTGGCATGGTGTGGTTTGGGAATTTTCATACAACAAACTGACCATTCGATTTAACTGCTATATCTTCCATGATCAGTCCTGGAACCAGGAAAACGTTCCAGGTGCTTCTTTAAGCACTGGGTAGGTCCTGTACAAATGTTGGGGACACCTGCCTTGGATGTCCAGGTAGCGGGCAGCGGTTCCTATTGTTCCCTTCCCAGCGACAGTGTTACAGTGGAACACGTTCACCAGACACTTGTCTGTGTGAAACAGGGCAGAGTACCTGGAATTATTATATTGTGCTCTGGAAGGCGAGCACTTGTAGAAAGAGAAGCTGTATTGTGGATTAGACTAATGGTACTGAACAGTCCAAACACACACTGAACTTAACCCCTTACACTCTCCAACCAAATGTGAAAAAGACTCACTGCTTTATCTGACTTAGTACAAAAGCTTCACCTAACTCCCACGGTTGTCTAAATGGACCTCTCAGAGCTGTCAAAATTAAGAATCTGCCATCAGAGTTGGGAGTGAAAACACACACTCCGCTGCATTTGAAGCGCAATGTTTTATGTTTGTTAAATGACAAACACCCGCATATTATTAATGTTTAATCTGCACCTCTTCCATCAACTGTCATTTGCCAAGCAGCAGACATCCTTAAGGACTCGGCATTCTTCTGAAACGTTTCTCCTGTTGGTTCCTAAAATTACAAGACGTAAGAGGGCAACGTTTCTTTCCCAGTGTATGTAGTTCCCTTACTGTTATAGCATTTCCAAAGCCTTACAGATCTCAGGTATTTCTTCTCTTAGGTTTATGTTTTCGCACATATATTTAGCGATATATAAGTTACATGCATCATTTCACTACTTCCTGAAATTATTTTATAAATGTAAACTTCATTGGGTAAAATAAAAGTCTCTCAAAATTTACACTTGAAATATATGAAGATTATTGTTTCCTGGGTGCTGTTTCGCTGATGAATTTGCCTTACTCTCTACATTTTAGGTAATTATGAAGTAAGACTTCTAACTTCACTGACCCCATTAAGTTTATTACACCTGGAGACAAAGAAATGGTTAAATTTTACAGCAGTCTCGCTGGCTGTAGAATAGTTTTCTGCTTGGACTTGTAAGTGGCTTCACGGGTCGCATTTTGTGCTGTCCTACCGCCACCCTGTGGAAGACTCGGCAAACTAACCCTAACATTACAGATGCCGAAACCCACCAAGACAACTGCTGATTGTGACCTTACTGATGTCACTCCCTTTAACTTTATAATTCTTTTACAGCCATAAGTTGGAGAAGTAGGAAAATAAATTGATTCCTTCAAGGATGCATAATTTTAAATTTAAGACAGGTTTCATTCCAAAGATGTGTATCTGTAGAGTTATTCATGTACTTGCAAAGTTCCATGGAAACAAGTACATACAAAACAACTCAACATTGTAACTAGGTGGTCATGCAAGCTAAAAGTTCCATCAGAACTTTGAGGTGAGTATATCCCTCACTAATTCGTTGGGATCCTGGGGAACTCAGCTGCAGTGAAAGGCCGTTTGGCTCATGCCCAGTAGCACGTCTGAAATAATCCCACGGCAGGTTTGTGTGACAAATGCATGCAGGGAATCTTCTAAGTGAAATGTTCCTCGGAGATCAGTTAAATGTCCCTGAACTAATGTGTGTAATTAAGTAGGTTCTTCTTTCAAAATGTTTGCTTCTGTGAAATTTTCATCATAAGCTCACACGAAACGAGTACAAAAAGACAAATGACTTCCACAAATATTTTCCATAGTGCCAAAGAGCAGGGCTTCAACAGAAATACATGGGGAAACGCGGTAGCAGCCTGAGTCAAGGTTGGGTTGGGTTGAAACAGTTCCAGGAGTGCACAATTCAGTATGAAGTGTGGTGTCTCGTGCATGAACGGAAACCCATATTAAATTTTGTAAAAAGAGATGAGTTAAATGAATGGTCACTACTTCCTAGAGGGATTCAGGACAAGCTTGGGGTCATCCAACACAGAGGTCAGCTCACTGTCACATATGGGAAGAATGCACTCCAAGCTGGACTAGTCACCTGTCACTGCCTAAATTCAGCCGTTGCACTTTATGTGAAATTCACGTTGCATGGTGAATTTCTAATCTTTTTATTTTACATTTTGTAGGCAAGCTCATTAGAAATGAATGGAATTTTCAGGCCAAAAAATAAGTATATTAATACACTTACATTATTTTACATCTTGCATTATTTCTCGAGGATTTTTCAATTCTGAACTCTCACTTCCTGATTGGTTCCTTACCAACCACTAGTTTCTAACTTTATCCTAGGGTCCTGAATTCTGCCAATCTGTCTTTTGTCTTATTTGTTGAGGACTAAAATACTTTCCTTCAATTAAGAGTTATCCGAAGTCACAGGGTCAGCCTTTTTAAAGGCCCCAGGAATCTGTTTCCCAGCCGAGTTCAGTTACTGGAAACCGTCACCTCAACAATTACCAGCGAGCCAGAGTTCAAGTTTAATTTACAATAGGCAAATCTCCAAAGAGTAATGGAAGTGAGTCTACGAAGAAAGGAAGCCAATAAAACTAAAATAAAAACTTCAGCTATTGAAACATGTTAGAAAAATGATGTCAGAGATGGGCTTTTATTAATGTACTCTGTGTACTAAAAGTTTTGGTATCGAGCCTATCAAAATACTAGACTGGACTGAATTCTGTGGGGGAAAATTCCATACTGGCTTCCATCATTCACAAACCCACAGAAACCCTAAGTTTCAACAGCTCAGGTCTCTAGCTTTACATGTAAAATCATGTCTGCAGCCCAGAGATCTAAAAAGTACTGTGGCCCCCAAAGTTCTGACGACCCATCTTGGCCTTCAGGAGCTGGGAGAAGCAGACCCTGAAGGGGAAAGTCCCACTGTCTGTCTGGAGGAAAACTCCCCGTACACAAATAATAATTAGCACGGCCCCCAGGCTGTCGGAAGGAAGACAGGCAGTTACTTAACTTCCCCAAGTCTGGCTTAATAAATTCAGGGAGGTGACATTTCCATTAGAGGGCCACTGACCTTTCAGCTCCCAAAATAATGCCTTTCTGAAGGAGCCACTTGCTGTGTTTGTTTGTTACAACTTTGGATCCAGTTATTTCACTTAGCAACAAACCCCACTATTAGGAGGGCGCCGTGATCTGAGTGCAGGTACCTAGAGGAGTTCATCAGTTTGAAGTTCCCTAGGATTTAGCTCAGTGGCACAAGCACCTGACTGGCAAGCATGAGGTTGTGAGTTCAATCCCCAATACAAAAAGAAAAAAAGGAAATTCCCAAGGATCTGAGAAAAAGAAGAATTTCTACCAACAGTCATAAAACATCAGTCCTGCCTTAGCTGATCACAAGGAAGCGATTTCAGGTTCCTTCTGTCTGCGGACACACTTACAAACTGAACGCAGGAGGAGCAGGCTAGGTCCGTGGTGGGGAAGCTATGGCTCTG